CAGATACTCTTCCCTCAGTTTGTTCAGCCTTCTTCCCTCTTTGTTAATCCGATTAATCTTGAAATCCTGAGGATTTCCTTTTATGTAGGCTTCTTTAGGGAGAATGTGCCCATCTGTCATGTGCTTTTCTCACATATTGTGATAGACTGATAGTGTAGGTCAGTATTCAGCCCAGGGCTGGAAAGAACTATGTAGCAGGAGGTAACTGACTAGACTTTTGGCTCCCTCTGCAGGAAGGAGGAGGAGCTCTGGTCAGAAGTGAGAAAGGGTTAGTACTGATAAAAATTGTATTGATAAAACTCTAAAGCAAACTGCTTCCTGGGGTGCTTCTAGAATAGTTCATGCAAGGCCTGTATCTCTAAGCTAGAAAACAAATATCAGTTCCCTGTCTATGCGTATTTCTCTGGTACCATACTGGAATTCCTGTTAATATATGGTTAGAATGTTTGATCCTGGGCCTAGCAGGGGCAGCACGACTTAGGAAAAGGGGTCTCACAGTCCGCTCAAACAGTATAGTGGTGGTAGAAATAGTGATAAAGGACATTTTCCTGGGGAAAGAGAATTTGGTAGAGACAAGAATACTGGCTAAGAGGCTCTGGCCTCCACCTGTATGTGGAAACTTTGTCCATTGACAATGTAGGATGATCAGGACTTTATTTTACCATCACCTTGAGCAAAACTGAAACTAGAAGAGCAAGTAAGATACTTTCTTTATTTGAAAGTTTTAAATGCTTGAACAAAAAAAGTAACAATAAAGATAAATAAGGTATCTTGTGAGTTTGAAATTGCCTGAGCTACTTGGTGAGACCCTATCTCAAAAAAACAAAAACAAAACAGAAGGCTGGGCACTGGTGGCTCACACCTGTAATCAGAGCTATTTAGGAGGCTAAGATTTGAGGATCTTGATTCAAAGCCAGCCCAGGGAGGAGATTCTGTGAGATCCTTATCTTCAGTAAACTACTTAAAAAACTTGAAGAGACACTATGGTTCAAAGTGGTACAGCATTACCCTTGAACAAAAGAGCTCAGGGCCAGCACTCGGGCCCTGGATTCAAGTCCCAGAACCAACAAAAACAAAAAACAAAATGGAACTTAAGTAAAAATTTGATGAACATGGGCTTTGACCCAAGATCCTCAGCTTTCCAAGTACCTAGTATTTCAGGTATGAATCACTGGTTTCCAACTAACTCTATTACTTTTTATTTTTTTATTTCCTGAGACAGGGTTTTGCTGTGTAACTCAGGCTAGCCTCAAACTTGTGATATTTCTGCCTTAGCTTTCCAAATGGTGGGATTGCAAGCATGTACCACAACACTTGATTGTTAACTCATTGATAAACTGGAGAAGTGAAGCTCAAAATAGGACCTCCCTTGGCTTTTTTTGTCATGGGGTTTGAACTCTGGGCCTGGGTACTGTCCCTGAGCTCTTCAGCTCAAGGCTAGCACTCTACCACTTGAGTCACAACATGACTTCCAGTTTTCTGGTGGTTTATTAGAGATAAGTCTCAGGGACTTTCCTGCCTGGGCTGGCTTTGAACCATAATCCTCAGATCTCAGCCTCCTGAGTAGCTAGGCTTACAGGTGTGAGCCAGCAATACCCAGCTGGTTTTGGTGTTTTTTGAGTGTCATTGTTAGGTTTTTACATTGTATTCTTCCATTATTTCTCACTTTGTTGTTCAGAGACACCTTTCCATAATGAATAACTGTTCTTCTTTTTCTCCTCCTTGTGACTGGCCTGGTGTACAAGAGGAAGGATAAGGGATGAATTGGGCTCCTGCCCTGATGTATTCAGTCTAGGTCTGCTCTCCTATTAGTGGTGTGACTAAGTTTGGTTTTTTTTTTTAACTATCTCTTCAGTTTCTTCTTTCCAGAGATGAGATCTTGCAAGTGGCAAGTACCCACTGTATAACTGCAGTGCTGGTCCACTCCCCAGTGAAGTATGCCCCTGCCTTCATCCATGCTGACATCCCAGGTAAGGGGGAAATTTAACATTGTCTCAGTTCCCCAGAGCTCTGACAAGAGCCTTGAGAGTCATAGCAGATACCTTGTCATGGAATCGTTGATAACCCTCACTGGAAGGATATGGTGGGGACAGGGTCAGCTGTGTGTGAAATAGGCCTCAAAACATCTGAATTTACTTGCCACAGATTTACTACATGACACTGAGTAATTTATTATTGACCTTTGTCATTTATTTGATCCTTTTTTTGTATATGAGCCTCTACTGGAGATGTGCCTTAGTTTTTATATTATTTTTAATTTTTTTATTGTTATTATGAAGGTGATGTACAGAGGGATTACAATTACATAAGTCAGGTAAAGAGTACATTTCTTTTTGGAAAATGTCATCTCTTCCCTCACTTTCCTCCCAGTTCCTTAGTTTTTAAGGCTTAAGGTTAGTATTCTAACATTGGAGCCTGAGGTTGAGATCTAAGGATCACAGTTTGGGCCACAACTCTATTTCTGGCTTTTTGCTGGTTAATTAGAGATAAGAATATCATGGCCTTTTCTGTCCAGGGTGGGTTTGATGTGCAATCTTTGGAACTCAGCCTTTTGAGTAGATAGGATTTCAGACATGAACCACCAGTACCAGGCTTATTTGATCTTTGAGCAAAAAACTAGTGTGGGTGGCAGAAACGCAAATCAGAAATAACAAAGGGAAGGGAAGTAATGTTTCTGTAAGAGCTATTAGGAACCAGGAAATACATCCTGAGATGCTAGCAAGTGTTATCATATTTAGGTGCTCATCTTTATATTTTATTTTTTGTAAAGCAGGATTTCAACCCAGGGCTTGTACATTCTACATCGAGCGATATCCCCAGCCGATCTTTGTTATTTTATAGATGACTGATTTTTTTTTGAGGGGGAAGGGAGAATGCATGGAGATGGCCACATAATCCAATTACCTATTTTCTACAGGGGATGTGGAAAAGTGAAAATGTAGAAAATTTTGACTGGTTGTAAGTGATTATTGAGGAGAATTGAGGGTCAGATAAGGAATCAGTGATTAAAATCAGTAAGGCCAGTTATTGACAGAGATAGGATATAAGGTCAATTTTTTTTGTCAGGGGTGGGGCTTCAGCTCAGGGCCTGGGTGCTGTCCCTGAGCTCTTTTTGCCCAAGGTTAGAGCTCTGTCACTTTGAGCCACAATTCTACTTCTTTCAGTTTTCTGGTGGTTAGTTGTAGATACAAGTCTCAGGATCTTTCCTACCTGGACTGGCTTTGGACCACAATCCTCAGATCTCAGCCTCCAGTGACCAGCAAGGTCAAATGTCTTTGACTCTAAAAATCCTTTTTTCACCACATGCTAGTGGCCAGTAATCCTGGTTATTCAGAAGGTTGAGATCTGAAGATTGCCTTTTGAAGTCAGGCTGGGCAGGAAAATTCATGAGACTCTTATCTCCAATTAACCAACACAAAATTAGAAGTGGAGGGGCTGGGAAGGTGGCTCAGTGGTAGAGCGCTTGCCTTGCATGCCTGAGGCCCTGGGTTCGATTCCTCAGCACCACATAAGCAAAAAGAAAAAAGCCGGAAGTGGCGCTGTGGTTCAAGTGGTGAGTGCTAGCCTTGAGCTGAAGAGCTGAGGGACAGCACCCAGGCCCAGAGTTCAGGCCCCACGACCGGACCCAAAAAAAAACAAAACAAAAAACTAGAAGTGGAGCTGTGGCTCAGGGACAGTGCCTAGGCCTTGAGTTCAAGCCTTAGGATTGGGGTGAGTGCATGCGTGCGTGCGCACATACACACACACACATATACACACACACATACATGCACACACATACACACACACACACAGTAATAACTTAGATTAGAACCCTGAGGATACTTTCCAGATTTGTATGTGCGTTGATGACCATGTCCATGGAGAAGGGTACATGAACAGATAAATAGGAATATGCTATATATATCCAGACCCTTACATCAGCTAAAGGACGTATCTCCTGGCTATCATTTATTGTTTTCTCCTTTTCTCTCTGGCCAGAATTCCTCTTTGAGCATCTTTCTTCTTCCAGTGAAGTGCTTGTCTGGTCTACCTACAACTGCTTGATACTCCTGACAGAAGAACCACTCTTCTTTTCCAAGTGCCATACAGTATATGGTTGGTAGTACAGGTCCTGTGCTATCTCCCAGTGTTCTGGATAGCAATTTAGGGTTGGGCAGCAGTGATGAGTGGTGGGCTTCCTTGGGGAAGGAGTGCTGGGCCTGGTTATTCCTGTCAGCTCAAACTCAATACCAGGTTTTTTATGTAAGCATTGATATCCATATAGTTCTGCTTTTACTGGTTAGCAGAAACGTATACATTTAGACTTTAGCAAGGGAAGAACATGCCTATTAGCTACTAAATGAATTCCAGTTGATACTCAGCTTTGGCTTCAGTTCTATGATGCCCTTATCTGTCTATACAATAGTCTCTGAATTTTGTTAATTTATACTTGTCTATCCAATAGTCTCTAAATTTTGTTAATTTATCCTTCAAAGTCTCCTGAAATCATTCATATTGATGATCAAATATGGATTTTTTAGACTAGAAACTGATTCATTTTGTATTTATTCTATGTTCCTAATCTGTACCAGGCATCAAACCTGGAGATTTAGAAATATGTATAATACGTTCCTTGCTCCCAGCAACAGGAAATTTTAAATTAGCTGATTTGTGTTGGCCTAAAGGGAAGCAGGAAATGCTCTGGGGAAGTTCACAGCTTTGCCCCAGTGGATCAAGGAAGGCTTCCTGAGAGGAGCAGAGGTTCAACCTGATTTGTCAAGGGAGACTAGGAGTATGCTGAATGGGTAAAATGTGGACTGGTCAGTTGATGATCCCTATATACCTCATGTGACTAGGTGGTAGCTGGGCTAGTATAGGGGACAGAGGAGACAGGAATCAGATGAGGGCCTGCCCTTGAAGATCTGTCATGTCTCATCAGCTAAGTCTTGTTAGTGTTACTCCATGAGGGGTCTCCCAGCTGGAACTGTAGAACACTGATCGTTGGCCTGTGTCATGTCATCCTGAGGTAGGGATCGAGGCAGTGGTCAGGAGCCTTCAAGAAAGCTTGAAGATGACCAACACAGAGTTGCATAAGCAGGGTCTGCTGCTCTTTGCTGAAATTCTGACTCGGTGAGCAAAATGGTGGGACATCAGACTATTAAAGGGAAATTGAGCTGGTATTCCTAGTGAGGCTAGGATAGGAGTTTACCCATTTGCTTCTCATCTACAATTTCCTAGGCAACCAGAAGAGATCAGGCTGTTCACAAGTTCAGCTTTGTGTGGAGATGCTGGCCGTGCCCTCCAAGAGGCAGTGGGCAGTCCAGTCCTGGAGGTGGCTACTGAAGCAGTGAAGGCCATTTCTGCTTTCCTGAGGTGGGTGATCCTAGCAGGCTGATCCTTCTCTGGTGTGTACTTTAGAGGCTGTCAAGGACAGGCATCTTCCTAGGATGTTCTTTATGTGCGCGTGCACGCGTGTGTGTATGTAATTTTCCTTTGCCTTTTTCTGGTAAGAATTCTTGTGATGATATTCAGGGCCAAGATGGATAATATGGGATAATCTTATCTCAAAATAATTTTCACATACGCATGAAAACTTTACCAGGTTTTAGGCATAAAGACCTGACAACTTGAGTATCAACAGTCTCACTATGTTTCCCTGAGCTCCAGGCTACATTTCCAACTTCTCAGGGCCCTGCTTATGTTTTCGCTTAGATAGCGGGAACACAGTCCTGCTTATATTTTAGCTTAGATTTTTAAACTCCAGAACTTTGAGAAAATAAGCTGCCATTGTTTTAAGCCACTCAGTTTGAAGTAATTTATGATAGCAAGCCTAGGCAACCGGTAGCTACTTAAGTAACTACACAACATTTTTTTATTTGGTATCAATTCACAAATTCATCTGTATAAATTAAGTGGCCTCTTGGAGCTAACAATTAGACTAGTAAATGACTCTTGTCTCCACTGAGTCTATATTTATATAAGGGTTTAAATGAATCCTAAGTGTTACCTGTTCTTATTTATTCCATACCCATAATGTTCGCCTCTCTAAAAATAGTTTTCTAGTCTCTTCTTATAATCTCACAGAATAGGGAATTCATGTTTGCTTAGCTAGTTCCCTCTTTTTCTATATAGTTTGGCTCATACTACTAAAATAAAGTCTTGTTCCTAATAACATTTACCTATTGATACTGATTTTCTCTATTGAGGTCACCAAGAGTTAGGTTGTTCTGTCTGACTAGGGATCTTATCACTTATTTGAGAGCAGTGGTCTTTGCACCTCTTGATACACTTTCAGTTCCTCATAGTGCTTCTTTTACCAGGTAGCCCTAGATGGTGAAAACTCCTCTGTATCTTTAATACACTTAGCAACATGGCTGGAGTTTATAAAGATTTGCTAGATATTAGATATTAGGTACTGTGCTGGGGCTAGGAAGGTGGCTCAGTGGTAGAGTGCTTGCCTTGCATGCATGAGTCCCTGGGTTCGATTCCTCAGCACCACATAAGCAGAAAAAGCTGGAAGTGGAGCTGTGGCTCAAGTGATAGAGCACTAGTCTTGAGCTGAAGGACAGTGCCTAGGCCCAGAGTTCAGGCCCTTCGACCAACATAAATAAATAAATAAATAAATGCTGTGCTAAGTACTTGGCACATATTAAGTAATTTGATCCTCAGAATCATGAGGAGAGTGGTATTAATGCTCCTTTCATAGATGAGGAATGGATGAGTACAGATGGTTGAAATATACACAGTCATGAAGCTATATAAAGGTTGCAACTAGGACTTTTTAACCGAATCAGGTCAGTCCAAATCTTATAAGTTAGCATCCTTTCCTCTTTTCTGAAAGCCTGGGAGGATCTTGGGTCTACCTCTCTCTGAGTCCACTCTTGTCTCTCAATGCAGGAAGGACCATCAGAATACACCGCCTGTGCAGTATAGGACACTGCAGGCCTTGCTTGAAGCCATGCTGAGCCGGTGTGTGGAGTTTTCCCAGACTCCACTGAACAGGCGGTCCTTGGTAAGTGCTTCTTCCAGACTCTTTTCTCTAATTCATATTTAGGAAGTTAATGAATACATGGCCAAACACCTACAATTGGATGTTACTTTTTTCCTAACTTCAGCTAAGCAATTTTTCTCTAAGAGAAAACTTGGTTAGTAAATCTGAGGGTATTTGTACTCAAACCTAGCATACATTTTTTTTCATAATGTCATCCAAGAATGTATGATAAACATACTTAAAATATTATTTATGGCTTATGCTTTAGCAACTTAGAATCTGACTGATATGTATTGTCTTGTAATTGTTGGCTTTTAGTATGGGACTTAAAATACTGCCATGGTGAATGCTGATGATGGCTTTCAGGATTAATCTCTTACAACAGGCTAATGTTAACCTGCCTGTAACCTACATATACATACATCTGGTTCTGAGGGATACCGGGTTAAAGTTTCCCCCTCTATTTTTTTTGACTGTCATGGGGCTTGAACTTGGGCCTGGGCACTATCCCTGAGCCTTTTCAACCAAGGCTAGCATTCTACCTCTTTGAGCCACAATGCTACTTCCTCCCCTTCAGTTATTAGAAGACGTACTTGGTTACATCTGCTAGGATATAACCTAGGTTCCCTAAAAAGTTTGGTACATGGGAATGGCAGACAGTGTAAATAGAAGAGTTCTGAAGTAATTCAAGCACAGACTAGGACCCAGAGTCAGATCTTTTTCTTTCTTTTTTTTTTTTTTGTCGGTTGTGGGGCTTGAACTCTGGGCTTAGGTGCTGTCCCTCAGCTCAAGGCACAAAGCTAGTGCTCTACCACTTGAGCCACAGAGTCACTTCTGGTTTTCTGAATGGTTTATTGGAGATAAGAGTCTCATGGAATTTCTTGCCCCAGCTGGCTTTGAACCGGGGTCCTCAGATCTCAGCGTCCAGAGTAGCTAGGATTACAGGCTTGAGCCACTGGGGCTCATCCAGAGTCAGATCTTAACCTATAGATTTCTTTATCCTTACTTCAGGGGCATGCCCGCAGCAGAAATTCAGAGAAAGCCATTATTCGAAGGGGAAAGTTCCTCCAGAGCACTCTGGAAGGATTTAGAAAAGCCTGCAGGTGAGGAGGACTCTGGGGATAAGGCAATAGCTAGGAAGGTAGGGGAGGGAGGTAGTTAGACAAAAGATAAAATTCTAGAAGCAACACTTGATTTCTGATGCTTTACTGCATATTTAGAAGGCTTGGCTGGGGTTGGGGTTGGAGATGTTTGAGGACAGAGTGTTTCAAAAGATTCTCTTTTGGTGATGTCTGCTACTGTGCCATGAGATTGTGTGTTAGTGACCTTTGTTCCTTTTCCCCAATTGCCTCTCATTGTAGCTATTCACTGAGTAAGGTATTATTCACTTAACAGATGTTTGTTGTATCTGCTGTGTAACAGGCAGGCTTAGTGCTAGCCAGAGAGTATAGAAAGTTAAGTTAGAATAACTCTTGTCCCCTGGAGCTTAGAGTCTCTTTGGGAAGAGATAGCTTTGAGTATCTATGTAGAATTTGCTGGGCTGTCGGAATCCAGGAAGGTATTCCAGATAGAGAAAAGCAGCATAAGGAGAGATGTGAAACAGCAGATAACATGGATGTTCGGGGAAGTACACATAGTTGGTTGGAAGAGTCATGTATGATGGGTCAACAGAAGGCTGGAGAGGTACCCAAGGGCCCGATCCTCTCCTAAATGAGATCTCTTAGATTTTCCTCACATATGATGGTGTGAATATATTCTTTGGATCCTGAGCTCAGTCATCTGTAGAATACAGATGACTTAGGTTGTATGAGGTAGTGGATGAACTCACATATTGATTTCTCAGATTGGCTGTGGAATTCCAGAATGAGCCTTTGGCCCAGGAGAATCCCTTTACAGCTCCCAGTGCTGAGAAGGAAGATACCCTGGAGGCTTTTTCAGAATTTCTTCTCAGAGCCTGTGACTCTCTATGTATCCCACTGGTGATGGTGAGTTCCTCTGAGCCACAGTAGCATGAAGCTTGGGAGAAAATTTGAAGATAAGTCAGGCTGACAGGCCCAGGTAGAAACAACTCAGTTGGCCTCAGTGATGTTATTTTTAAGATTTTATTATTGTTACTATAAACGTACAGAAGAATTAAAGTTACATAAAGTGATATTATTTTTGTAACTATTATTTGGTTTAAAAATATGTTTCACTATAAAACTAGTAGATGACTAAAGAAAGTAGAAGTCAGTAACAGTCAAATAATAAATAGGTAATATTTACAATGAGATAATATATTACAATGCCTAATTTTATATTCATTACCTAATTTTATTCTTAAACATGACCCTGGGAGTTGGGTGCTATAATTTTTGTAATATCTTGCTACCTCCCCCTTTAGACTCTCTCCACAACAGGCAAGCATGCTACCACTTGAGCCATACCCCCCAATCTCCTTTTGCTTTTGTTATATTTTCTACTAGAATCTTACTTTTTGCCTGCACTGGCCTGAATCATGATCTTTCTGTTTATACTTCCCATGTAGCTAGCATGAGAGGCACAAACTTTTGTGCCCATATTTTTATTGGTTGAAATGGAACTTTATGAGAATTTTTCCCAGGGCAGCATAGTACTACAATCCTCAGCTAGAATTTCAGACATGATCGCCATACCCCCTATTTAGAAAGCATTTACTTTATAGCAGATCTCATTTGTTTCTGGGAGATAAGTCTTGTTACTCATTTTAGTTTGGAGAAGTGGGGACAGAAGTCTACAGAATAAAGTATCTAGTTTTAGCTTTTAAGTAGCAGGTCTAAACTGTAAAATACAGGTTTGTAACTTCATGTTCTCTAGCTTGTCTTTTGCCCTTCAAGTAAAAGCAGTTAATCTACTGTTGTAAGATTTGATGTCAGTCTTTACTTTTCTTCTTTAGAGACTCATTCCTGGTGGCCTGTATTCTTTCTTGTGTTTTAGACATACTTGGAGCAGGCCACCCATCCAGCTTTAATGGAAACTTTTTTCTCAATTCTGTACAACCTCTTTGTCATCGTTCCTCACATGAAGGAAAGATTCTCCAAGAAGCTTGGTAGGTAGCAGGCAGTGTGGAACCTGGTAGAAAGGTACATACTATACGAAACTAGACTAGGAAGTGGAGCTGTGGCTCAAAGTGGTAGAGAACTGGCCTCGAATAAAAAAGCTCAAGGACAGCACTAAAACCCTGAGTTCAAGCTCCGTGACCAACAAATAAAAATAAAAATAGGGGCTGGGAAGGTGGCTCAATTGTAGAGTGCTTACTTCACATGCATGAGGCCCTGGGTTCGATTCCTCAGCACCACATAAGCAGAAAAAGCTGGAAGTGGCGCTGTGGCTCAAGTGGTAGAGCGCTAGTCTTAAGCTGAAGAGCTGAGGGACAGTGCCCAGGCCCAGAGTTCAGGCCCCATGACCAGCAAAAAAATAAAAATAAAAAAAATAGAAAAAAATAGACTGGACAACTCAAAAAAAAGCAGAAGCCATAGCATAGGATAGGCATTTTTATATTTGTTAGAATCTGTACCATTCTTTGTTCAGCATTCAGAAGAGGGAAAATATCCAGCACTCAAAACTCTTTAAAGGCAGTTCTGCATTAATACTTCTCTGTCCAAGAAGAGTTTAGGAGATTCCAATGCAGCACCCATGATACATTCCCTTTTCCATTACTTACTTTTTTTTTTTTTTTTTGGTTGTGGGGCTTGAACTCTGGGCCTGGGCACTATCCCTCAGCTCTTCACTTCAAGGCTAATGTTCTACCACTTGAACCACAGTGCCACTTCCGGTTTTTCTGAGTAGTTTATTGGAGATAAGAGTCTCGTATACTTTCCTACCCGGGCTTGCTTTGAACCATGATCCTCAGATCTCAGCCTCCTGCCTGAGTAGCTAGGATTACAAGCGTGAGTCACTGGCACCCGGCTTTTTGTTGGTTTTTGTTTTAACTGAGAGGTGGCTCACTGGAGAAGGATTTGATCTAAGAGGCAGTGGACCATGGGCTCATTTTGGGTCAGGGTCAGTGCAAGATGCCTGTAAGATGTCCCAGCAGAGATGTTAGGTGAATTGTTTACTATGTGTCAGATGTAGGGAGTGATCTGGTCTTTAGCCATAGGTATAGATATCTGCAGGATCCAGCCTTCCATTCACTCAGCAGATATTTATTGAGTACCTGCTGTATGCAAGGCTGTCATAGGGATGTGAATATGTCAGTGAATAAGACACAGCCCTGCTCTTACGGGGCTGACCCTCTAGTTAGGAGCTGGTAGGATTCCTCAGGAATGAATTCATTAACGATGAGATGGTTAAAGGGGCCAAGGAAAACTCAGGAGGAACATTTTATGCTCAGGAGGAAGGGATACTAAAAGATACATGGAAGAAGCAGTTGAAGAGAAGCCATAAGAGTATGATATTAGGGAAACCAAATGAAGTGACTTTGCTAGCTTAGGGAATAGACAGAGGAGAAGTCAATACATCCTGGAGGTCAAGTGAGATGAAGTTTAAAAATGTTCACTAGAGTTGGCATCACAGAGGCTCTTGACTTCCTTAGCTGCAGTCATTGCTGTGGTGTGGCTGGATAGAAGCTACACCACAGTAGGTTGCAGAATGCGTGTCAGCTAAGGCAGCAGAAAAAGGCTGGACAACTCTGGATAGGTTTGATGAGAAATAGTGGGTAGGGGAGTTGGGAAGGGTTTTTCTGTTCTATAAAACTGAGAACATAGAAGTGGTGCTGTGGCTCAAGTGGTAGAATGCGCTCCTTGAGCTGAAAAGTTCAGGGACAGTGCCCAGGACCAGAGCTCAAACCTTACAACCAAAATAATAATAATAATAATAATAACATATTATTATTATATTATAATAAAATAATAATAATAATAAAACATTCCAAACTGTAGCTCAATATAAGAAAAAAAACTGAGAACACTTATCCTGATTAGCTACTCACAACAAGAGTAGTAGATACACTGTTGTTGGTCTATGTGAGTTAGAATTCTTGTCCATACTTATGGACATTGGGGAAATTAATTTTCTTTTTTTTGGGGGGGGGTCCAGTCGTGGGGCCTGAACTCTGGGCCTGAGCGCTGTCCCTCAGCTCTTCAGCTCAGGGCTAGCGCTCTACCACTTGAGCCACAGAGCCACTTCCGGCTTTTTTCTTTTTTCTTATGTGGTGCTGAGGAATCAAACCCAGGGCCTCAGGCATGCAAGGCAAGCGCTCTACCACTGAGCCAACTTCCCAGCCCGGAAATTAATTTTCTTATCTCCAATGCCTTCAGCCACGATATCGTGATAAGAATTCAATGAGATAACGTATATAGATCTGACATACATTATTTTTCCTTCCAATATTCTTCCTGATGTCATACTTCAAGATTCAAGAGGGTTCAGTTTTGGGGTACCAGATGTGATATGTAGAAGTGTGGATTTCTAAGGGTCAGTAGTGGGGAAGTGAAAGAGAAATCTATAGGGAGACCTATGTAGCATAAAGCCAGGTAGAACATTCTCAGGGAAGAGGGAAGAGGAAAGCAGGCACTGCTGGTCAAGAGAGGGAGGTCCTAGAGATACTCTTGTAGGAATTCTGGATCCCCCAGAGACGGTCAAGATCTGTTCCAGAAGGCAAGTAGGGACCTTTCCTTGGGGAGTTAAAAATTAGGATTGCTGGGCTGGGAATGTGGCTTAGTGGTAAGTGCTTGCCTAGCATGCATGAAGCCTTGGGTTCGATTGCACATAAACAGAAAAAGCCAGAAGTGGTGCTGTGGCTCAAGTGGTAGAGTGCTAGCCTTCAGCAAAAGAAGCTCCGGGACAGTGCACAGGTCCTGAGTTCGAGCCCCAGGACTGGAAAAAAAAAACAGGCCTGGTGCCAGTGGCTCACACCTGTAATCCTAGCTACTCAGGAGGCCGAGATCTGAGGATCGCAGTTCAAAGCCAGCCTGGGCAGGAAAGACCATGAGACTCCTATCTCCAATAAACCACTAGAAAACCAGAAGTGGCGCTATAGCTCCAGTGGTAGAACGCTCACCTTGAGCTGAAGAGCTGAGGGACAGTGCCCAGGCCCAGAGTTCAAGCCCCATGACTGACCAAAAAAAAAAAAAGGATTGCTGTACATCCTGAGGGATTAATTCTCTGCCAGAAGCTTTAGCTTCTCACATAAAATTAGATGATCCCAACATTAGCGCTGGTGAAGTAGGGGCTCCTGATACCTACCTGTCTAGGATCCTGCTTTTATAGGGGCCTGAGGCATGTAGATCAGAGGTGAGTATTGGCCATCTTAGTGGGGAGATTGGGAACATCCAGGTAGTGGAGGGGCCAGACAAGGTCACCATTCTAGGCAATGCTGTTTGTCAGATCTCTGGTGTTAGTACCTATCACAGATAGGGATAAAGCACTGATGACTCCTGTTCTTCCTGACTCTGAAATGGTGTTCCTTTCTAAAAAAAACTGGTAGAAAGGATAAAAGTAGAAGGCTGTCCTTCTTGGGGGACTGTACCAGACTGTTGTAGAAGATAATTAAGAAGAGGAAATGAACATTTTTTTATCCAACACACTGAGCTAAGCCTTTGTTAGATGTATCTGCTCATTTATCTTAGGTTTATAACAGATGTCAAAACAGAGTCTCAGAGAAGTTAAATAACCTTTCACAGGTCATACTACTGGAGAGTGATGAAGCACATTTTGAATAGGTCTGTGCAATTCTGAAACCAGTGTTTATACTAAGACTTGGGAATCTCTTTAACAAGTCTAGTTTAATTCACTCTGCCTTTTTTCCACTTGTCTTAAGCTTCCTCATGCTTCATACAACTTACCCTGGAGCTGAAGGCCAAGTTCTACATTGGCTCTAGGTATGTATGGTTCCAAGTACGATTAAATACCAGGGGATAAGAGTCTTTTTATTTTATTTTTTTTGAGACAGTGTTTGAGACTGGCTTCAAACTTGTGATCCTTTTTCTTCAGCTTCTCAAGTGCTAGGGTTATAGATGTGAACCGCCAGCATTGTTCTCGATTGGACAAGTGGAAATTTCTGGCTAGTGTTTGAGTCATGGACTCTGGTATGGTTGACAGTGTCAGCATTGTCTAGCCACTGATGTATGAGCTGGTGGTACTTACGTTGGTTGAATTTTGTCTGTTCTGGTAAGGCTATCATTCCAGGTGATGTATGAATGGCCACCTGTCACATCAAAATGAAAAGGGTTCCCAGAGATCATTTGTCTAACTTCTTATTTAAATGGGGGAAAACTAAGGCTTCAAGATCAGGAATAAAATATTCATCAAGTTACCATTGCTCCTAGTCCAATGATTTCAGGGTGAAACTTTCATTCAAAGTATAAGTCACTGCCTCAGTGTCTGTCCATTTGTTTCTAGAGCAGCCTTCTGTACAGTCTCATTCATGATTTGTCAGTCACAGGGCTTGAATTCTGGGCCTGGGCGCTGTCCCTTAGCTCTTCAGCTCAAGGCTAGCGTTCTACCATTTGAGCCACAGCACCACTTCTGGTTTTCTGAGTGGTTTATTGGAGATAAGAGTCTCATGGACTTTTCCTGCCCAGGCTGGCTTTGAACCTCGATCCTCAGATCTCAGCCTCTTGAGTAGCTAGGATTACAGGCATGAGCCACTGGTACCCTGCTAAGATATTCATTTTTTTTAACTCAGGGCCTAGTCATTGTTCCATGGCTTTTTTGCTAGAGGCTGGTACACTACCGTTTGAGCAACAACTCTACTTCTAGTAATTTTGGCACTTTTTAGAGATAAGAGTCTTGTGGAATTTCCTGCCCAAGCTGGCTTTGAACTGTGATCCTCAGATATCAGCCTCCAGAGTAGCTAGGATTACAGGCATGAGCCACCAGTTCCTGGCTGGAAACTCATTTTTATTGTCCACATCCTACAAACAAGTGTGGCTATCCTTCCACAGTTCCAAATAGAATATCCAACATTCAAGAGAGGATTCCAGAATCCATCTGGATTCAAATTAGAAATTTTATTTTATTTATTTATTTATTTTGTCGGTCGTGGGGCTTGAACTCTGGGCCTGGGCGCTGTCCCTCAGCTCTTCAGCTCAAGGCAAGCGCTCTACCGCTTGAGCTACAGCACCACTTCCGGTTTTCTGGTCGTTTATTGGAGATAGGAGTCTCACGGTCTCTCCTGCCCGGGCTGGCTTTGAACCGCGATCCTCAGATCTCAGCCTCCTGAGTAGCTAGGATTACAGGCGTGAGCCACCAGCGCCCGGCCAAATTAGAAATTTTAGAAGTTTGTATAATTATAATTATTATTTGATGGTACTAAGGTTTAAGTTTAGAACCTTGAGAGGAGGCCCAGCAATGGAGGGACAAAGGGTGACAAGCGCAACAGTGGTACTCAGTAGATACAACATGTGGGTGAGGTTGGGAGGAGGAAGCAGGTTGAAAACAAAGGAAGTGGTGACATTGCTTAAAAAGAAGTGTACTCCCTACCTGTCTTATGAAATGATAACCCCTCTGTACATTACCTTAATAATAACAATTAAAAAATTATGCTGAGTGCTGGTGTTTCATGCCTGTAATCCTATCTACTTAGGATGTTGACATCTGAGGGTTGCAGTTCAAAGCCAGCCCAAGCAGGAAAATATATGAGTCTTTTATCTCCAGTTAACCACCAAAAAACCAGAAGTGGAGTTGTGGTTCAAAATGATAGGGCATTAACTTTGAACAAAAGAGCTCAGGGGTAGGACTGAGTTAAAGCCTCATGACTGACCAAAATAATAATAATAACAATAACAATAATAAATAATTAAAATTAACTTAGGACCTTCACTTAGCTAGACAGATACTGTACCACTAGAGCCACTCCTATCTCTTCTCTTCCTTTTTTTAAATTTTATTTATTTTTCAGGTGGGGTCTTGAATTTTTTTCCCAGGGCTGCCCTCAGACCCCAATCCTGGTACTTCTGGCCTCCTGCATAGCTGGGATTATAGGCATGTAGTACAGGTGTGATTTCATTAACGTTTTGCCTGGGCTATCTTCAAATTTGCATTCTCCTGATCTCTATCTCCTAAATAGCTGGGATTACAGGAGTGAGCTGCTGTGCCTGGCTAGAGTCCTATTTTTCTATTACTCCTCAACCCTCTCCTGGCCCAAGGACATTAAAAAAATTAATTATTAAGTAGTTGTGCATAGAGGGTACGATTCCATAAATTAGGTTATGAGTACAATAAATTTTGACTTATGTCACCCCTTCCATTGTTTTCCCCCATAAATCTCCTTTCACTCCTGCCCTCAAGTTACAGTGTTCAGTTTTTACATAATGTATATTGAATATATAATGACTGCATTTGATCACCCTCCATCCCTCCATTCATGTGTCCCTCCATTGTCTTCCCCCCAAAAAATGCCCCCAAACATGTTTCTGCTTCCTGGTATTCATTTTGTTCAACAGTTCACTAGTTGTTAAGAGGAGTTATGTCTTTGGATTCCTCCTCTAAATGTGTATCATCCTTTTAGTCTGTATGTATATGTTATCATGTATGTTTGTATTTTAGATCTAGCTTCTATATATGAGAGAAAACCTGCTGTTTGTCTCTCTCAGCCCGACTTACTTCACTTAACATAATTTTTTTCCCAAGGGCATTTTTTTGTTTGTATGTTTAGTAGCCTGCCTTGATTTATTTTTTCAATGTTTTAGTAAATTTATATAGTTTGAGTGCCTCCGTTATAACTATGGGCAGCAGTTTCTATACTGATTTTTCATAACTGCCTTAGTGCCTACTGTAGTGTGACCATATTATAACTTCACAGGGTTCTGGCACAAAACAATGCCTTCAGGCACATGGCAGGGACAGTGCTATCTGAGCCAAAGAATCAACACTGTCTTTTGTTTTATCTTCTCTCAGTGATTCAAGCCTAAATCAAGTATGTTCCAGTTTCCTCTACTATATGTGCCTTAACCTCCTTTCAGCTCCAGAGAAGACAAGACCACCTTCCCAAGAAGGTGAGATCATATCGTTTGTCCATTCACAAGGCTGATAGCAGTCTTTAGAGGCTGATAGCAGTCTTTAGGCGCTGATGCATAATGAATCCATACAGTAATAAAATCTCATTGCTTGAAGTTGCCCAAAGGAATCATGGAATCATGGAATTATAGGCTGATACCTAAGGAGATAACAGAATCAAAAAAATATGGAATCTAAGCTTCAGGAACCTACATGACTTTCCCTATTTGTTCTTTTATGAAACAGATTTCTTAAGAAATGTAGGAATCTTTGCCTTCAGGATAAAATCCAAGTTTCTTTTTCTTTGGGCTTTGGTTTGAGGTAAGGTCTTTCTATGTATTCCAGGCTGTCCTCAAATTTGTGATCTTCTTGCCTCAGCCTCCTAAACCCTGGGGTTATATGCACATATTACCATACCTAGCTAAAAATCTTATGTTTTTTTTCTTTTTGTGCGTAGTGGGACTTGATCTCAGAGCCTTACACTATTGCTTGGCATTTTAACTCAGGGCTCACATTCCACCACTTGATTCATACATACCTCCACTTTCAAAAATCTAAATTTTTTAAACCAGCATTTAATGTTTTTCACAGTACAGCTGAATTATATCACATAATTCCATACTCCTGGCTCATCATATTTGTTTACTAACTATTCAGTCACATGGAAGAAAAACATCACTGTATCCTCTCATGCTTCTTGGCATCTAAACACCTTGCTTCCTGTCTCTTGTACTTCTTTCTCTTCTCTACCTGTTTTCTGCTCACCACTATAATTCCCCTTTGAACTTCCCCTCCCCACCTCAGGTGACTTAAGTCACTTCTTCCATACTGGAGCATGGCTCTGATTATATGCCCTGCAATTATCTGATTGCAGGTGGGAAGAGAGATAGGACCTGAGCTCAGCCTGGGCTAGAATGAATATACATACACCAAATTAATGAATTGTATCCATGTCCTTTTACATGATAACTTTAGTCTCTCCTTGCAGGCTGAAAACTGCATAAAGGAAAGGGAATGAACCTCTGATGTTCTCTATACTGCATGTATGCGGTATTCTTCATGTAGTAGCTCTCATGTGCTCCTTACTTACATTTTTGTGTTCTCTGTATGGTCTCCCCCTGCTGTGTCCTCCCAGAACTCTCTGCAGTATCTGAGCTCCTGCAGTATGGTCTGCCCCAGATAAGCAGCAGGACCCCTGAAAACCTTGCCTTCCTATCTGATCGTCAATATGTGGAGGAAGCTGCTCGCCAGAGGCAGTACTGCATCCTGATTCTCTTCTACCTGGCCTGTATCTACGAGGACAGGTGGTTGTATGTTCAGAGCTGGTTGTATGTATAAAGGTTCCATTTGTAGCCCAGTTCGGTACAGCGAGCATTTTCGGTACAATGAGATGTCCAGTAAGGCTGAGGCTGAATGCTGGGACACAGAGAGAGTGAGAAATTGGTTGTGTTCTTGAGAGACTTATATCTTGGAAAGGAAGCAGACACAGTGCTGAGTGCAAGAGACCTAGAATGTTAAAAAGTGTTCTTTGATATTTTTGAGGATGTTTGTGCGCAGAAAAGAAAGTAAAAAACACTTTTCCCTCTTTCTTCTCCTTTTCCAGTGTAGGTACTGGGGCTTGAACTCAGGGCCTCACACTCTCACTAAAAAGGCTGACACTCTAACACTTGAGCTATACCTCAACTCTGGCTTTTTGGTGGCTAATTGAAGATAAGATAGAAGATAAAAAAATTCTTATTTAAAAAGTAATATTTATTATGAAAAGCAAAGTAATTGAGTATAAAGCTAAAATGTACATACTGTCGTTAATTATTATTAAATATGTTCCATAAATAATTTGTCAATGCATATACAAGCACATCTACTGTGTGTGTGTGTGTGTGTGTTGTGTGTGTGTGTGTGTGTGTGTGTGTGTGTGTGTTGATCCTAGGCATTGAACTCAAGGATTGAGTGCTGTCCCTAAATTTCTTTGCTCAAGGCGCTAGCACTTTACCATTTGAGTCACAGCTCTAGTTCTAGCTTTTTTTGGAGATAAGAGACTCATAGGCTCTTCTGCCTGGGCTGGCTTTGAAACACGATCCTTAGATCTCAGCCTCCTAAGTAGCTATGATTATAAGCATGAGCCACCAGCACCCAGATTACTGCTTATTTTTTTTTTGGGAGGGGGGGGTCTGGTCGTGGGGCCTGAACTCTGGGCCTGGGCGCTGTCTCTCAGCTGTTCAGCTCAAGGCTAGTGCTGTACCACTTGAGCCACAGCGCCACTTCCGGCTTTTTTCTTTTTTACTTATGTGGTGCTGAGGAATTGAACCCAGGGCCTTAGGCATGCAAGGCAAGCGCTCTACCACTGAGCCACCTTCCCAGCCCTACTCCTTATTTTTAATATACATAATGGGATAGTCCATAAGATCTTCCATATAGTTTTTAACTTAGTAGTGCTCAGTTAAACATTTTTTCTTGCTAGTTTGTGTGTTAGAACTACCTTATTCTTTTGGTACCTACATACTGTTTATATTATGGCCATTTATTATTGGTGGTACTGATGTACCTCATGACTTGCCAGGCAAGTCCACCCCTTGGACCATAATTCCAGCTCATTGTTGCTTTGGTTATTTTTCAATAGGGTCTTATCCTCTTGTCAGCCTGAGACAATGATCCTCCTAATCTCTGCCTCCTGAGTAGCTGGGACCACAGATGTGCACTACTGTGCCTGACTTAAAAAAAATAAACATGCCAGTGTGGGGGGAGAGGAGGGCTGGTAGCACACGCCTGTAATCCTAGCTACTCAGGAGAATGAGATCTGAGGGTCATGGTGCAAAGCCAACCCAGGCAGTAAAGTCCGTGAGATTCTTATCTCCAATAAACCACCAGAAAACCAGAAGTGGTGCTGTGGCTCAAGTGGTAGAGTGCTAGCCTTGAACTGGAGAGCTGAGCAAAAGCATCCAGGCCCAGAGTTCAAGGCCTACAACAGACAAAAATAAAAATAAACACATATTTGGGTGTAACTGCAAAAAATGCAGAAAATTTTCTTATACCTGTTATCTGTTTTCTTCTAATATTAACATGAGCATGGTACCTGTATCAAAACAAAGAAGCAGGGGCTGGGAATGTGGCTTAGTGGTATAATGCTTGCCTAGCATGCTTGAAGCCCTGGGTTCAATTTCTCAGTACAACATAAACAGAAAAAGCCAAGCCGGGCACCGGTGGCTCACACCTGTAATCCTAGCTACTCAGGAGGCTGAGATCTGAGGATCACGGTTCAAAGCCAGCTCAGGCAGGAAAGTCCCTGAGACTCTTATCTCCAATAAACCACTAGAAAACCGGAAGTGGCCCTGTGGCTCAAGTGGTTGAGCACTTGCCTTGAAATGAAGAGCTAAGGGACAGCTCCCAGGCCCAGAGTTCAAGCCCTACAACCAACCAAAAAACAAAACAAAACAAAAAGAGAAAAAGCCAGAAGTAGCACTGTGGTTCAAGAGGTACAGTGCTAGCTTTGAGCAAAAGAAGCTCAGGGACAGTGCCCAGGCCCTGAGGTCAAGCTCAGGACTAGCAAAAAAAAAAAAAAATGAACAAGAACAAAAAAACACAAAGAAGCTAAAATACTGGCTCACAGCTATTAGCTAAACTTGATCGATATCTCACCAGTTACTGCTACTGTCCTCTTTCTGTCTTAGAACATAATCCAAGATACTATACTGTATTTAGTGTTCACCATTTTTTAACTTTTAGTGTTGTTTTTTTTTTTTTTTTGGTTGTGGGACTTGAACTCAGGGCCCGGACACTGACCTTGCGCTCTTTTGCTCAAGATTAGTGCTCTACCACTTTGAACCACAGCTCCACTTCTGGTTTTTCTTGTGGTTAATTGGAGATAAGAATCTCACAGACTTTCCTGCCTAGGCTAGCTTTGAACTGTGATCCTCAGATCTCAGCCTCCTGAGTAGCTAGGATTATGGGCATGAACCATCAGTGCCTGGCCAAAGGTGATTATGATTATAATTATTAAAATTACTTTTAATAGACAAGATATACTCATGAGCTAGTGACCTGGCTCAAGTGGTAAAGTGCCTGCTTGTCTAGGCTTTGAGTTCAAAACTCTAGGTCTACAAATATATAAATAAATATAAACAAATAAAAAGACAATACTTATCTTCAAGGAACTTATTGGTTAGTAGAGAAGATGTTATATATTTGCATGTAGTTTTCATATTCTAACAAAAAAAACTATCATAGAATTCTCCTGCCCTCCTCTTGTTCCAGTATCTGCTTTGAGTATATAAGTCCACACAATTGTCTAATGATAAATATGAGAAGAATGAGATGGACAGCCTGCTAAAGTAGGGCCTTCTGAACCACAAAATAGCTTTCTTTCTTTAACAGTGCTGGCTCAACTCATAGATAAGTGTGACTGAGCAGTCTTGGTCCCACAGCAGTCTTGCACAAGGCCTATATGCGATGTAAATGTATGGCAATGTGTGGAAGTCTATACAGCACATTATATTTATGCATGGAGGCTGTGGGCATGTTTAGGCAGAACAGTAATCTTAGCGACAATGTGGCCAGGCAGGATAGGAGCATTCATTGACCCTGCAGTTCTGCCTTTCTCACTAAAAGATCTCTTTGGTCAACAGGTTTGTCCCAGCTGCACAGTTATTTGAGGCTGTGCAAAGCTTCCTCCTGTCTCTGCAGGACCAGGGTGAGCTTCCACCACCAGTAATCTGCAGAGCCTCTATCTATCTGCTTGCAATCTGCCAAGACAAGGACAGTGTACTGCATGAGGTATGGGTCAGATTACTGGGGCTCTCCTCTTCTGGTACCTTTTTCTGCTAATATTCCTTGGTGGAACATGATAGATAGAAGATAGATAGATAGATAGATAGATAGATAGATACATAGATACATAGATAGATACATAGATACATAGAGAGATACATAGATAGATACATAGAGACGGAAAGAGACAATTGTAGTGTACAGAAGTAGAGAGGAGGAGAGGGCTGATACATACAGAGCGTATATAAGTTAACTAATTCTCTCAACAGTCTTGGGAGGTGGAGATTGTATTTCCATTTCATGGATCAGAAAATGTGAAAGTAACTTTCTCTAGGGCACACAATAAATTGATAGAGGAGCCAGAATTCCACCTAGACTCACCTGATTCTCAAGGCTCTTTCCTTGACACTAGTCTGGTTTGTGAGGGAGAGAGCTGTGAGGTATTTTATCTCCTTCTGGTGATATTCATCAAACAAAGTGGATAGCTGATCATTTTTGTAATTAGGGCTTTGTACTCTTGCTCAGCTTGTTTGTTAGTTTGTTTGTTGCCCTAGCTGCCGCGTAGCACTTGAACCAATGCTAGTTGGAGATAGAGTTTCTTGGACTTTTCTGCCTGAGGCTAGCTTTGAACTGTAATCCTATGATCACAGCCTCCAAGTGGCTAGGATTATAGACATAAACCACAACTCCAACTACTTCTATATTTTTTGTTGGAATTCTATTAGGGTGAGTTTTCTCTTTTCTCTCATTTATTCATTTTATTCAACTTTTTTTTTTTTTTGCCAGTCCTGGGGCTTGAACTCAGGGCCTGGGCACTGTCCCTGAGCTTCCTTTTTGCTCAAGGCTAGCACTCTATCACTTGAGCCACAGTGCCACTTCTGATTGTTTTTGTTTATGTGGTACTAAGGAATGGAACCCAAGGCTTCATGCATGCTAGGCAAGCACTATACCACTAAGCCTGAAGGAAGTTATTCTGTTTGGAATGTGAGTTGATGACTCATGCCTATAATCCTAGCTACTCACGAGGCTGAGATTTGAGGATCGTGGTTTGAAGCCAGTCTAGGCAGGAAAGTCCATGACACTTTTTTTTTTTGGTCATGGGGCCTGAACTCTGGGCCTGGTTGCTGTCCCTTAGCTCTTCAGCTCAAGGCTAGTGCTCTACCACTTGAGCCCCAGTGCCACTTCTGGCTTTTTCTGCTTATGTGGTGGTGAGGAATTGTACCCAGGGCCTTATGTATTCAAGGCAAGCACTCTACCACTGAGCCACCTTCCTAGCTCCATGAGACTCTTATCTGTAATAAACTGTTCAAAAAAGCCAGAAGTGGTGCTGTGGCTCAAGTGGTACAGCACTAACCTTGAGCACAATGAGGCTCAAGGACAGAGCCCAGGCCCTGAGTTCAAGCCCCAGGACTGGTAAAAAAGAAAGAAAGAAAAAAAGAAAAGAAGGAAGGAAGGAAGGAAGGAAGGAAGGAAGGAAAGAAGGAAGAAAGGAAGGAAAAGAAAACAACAGTGAGGAAAAAAAATGACAAAGATTAGAAGGCAGACTAAGGTTCATTTAGCTTCTGAATATAGAGAAGCTCTGTTGTAGGTAGCTGGCTTTGGAATGGGGAGTGGAGCATTCTTTTTGGTCACTGAGGTTCTTTTTTTTGGTTGGTCGTGGGGCTTGAACTCTGGGCCTGGGCTCTGTCCCTCAGCTCCTCAGCTCAAGGCAAGTGCTCTACCACTTGAGCCACAGCTCCACTTCCAGTTTTCTAGTGGTTTATTGGAGATAGGAGTTTCAGGTCTTTCCTGCCCCAGGCTGGCTTTGAACCCCGATCCTCAGATCTCAGCCTCCTGAGTAGCTAGGATTACTGGCGTGAGCCATCGGTGCCCAGCTCTCACTGAGGTTCTTGATGGGTAATGGGATTGCACATTACAGATGACCTAATATACAACCTTAAGGACTTCTTCAAGAGTCACCTGCTAGCCCCCCCTCTTTCTTTTGCCTACATCTTTGAACTTCCCTTCCTCATTAAGTATCTTCTATGAGAAGGCTGCCTTGCTATTTTCCCTTTTAAAAGTTTTGTTGTTATAAAGGTGATGTACAGAAGGGTTACAGTGACTTAAGTCAGGTAAAAAGTATATTTGCCTTGCTATTTTCTACTTGTGAATTCCCTTTGCACAGAAGTGAATCCACATTCAGATTTTTCCACTAATGTCTTTCACATCCCTGGGAATGTCTGCTTCTTTGTGGGCCTTGGACCTGCCATTCAGAACAGGTTTGGCAAGAGTCATTTCTGAGATCACTTTTTTTTTTTTTTTGATTGATCCTGGGGCTTGAACTCAGAGCTCTGGCGCTGTCCCTGAGCCTCTTTGTGTTCAAGGCTGGTCCTCTACCACTTGAGCCACAGTGCCATTTCTGGTTTTTTTGGAGTGGTTTATTGGAGATGAGAGTCTCACAGACTTTTCTGCCAGGGCTGGCTTCGAACCATAATCCTCAGATCTTAGTCTCCTCAGTAGTTAGAATTACAGGCATGAGCCACTGGTGCCTGGCTCTGGGATCACTTTTGACACTCACAATCCTTCATCTTCTGTGGAAAGCAGCAGATGGGCCATTGTATATGTGGACTCCCAGCAGCTGGAGTGTGGGTATGTCTGGGATAATGGAAATTTCAGAGTATCACACTATACCTATCTCTGGAAACATTTCCTTCTCAGCAATTTCATTCCATTTTGATCAGCGTTTCTTACATCTTGAGTACTACTCAATGTATATGAATTTTTATTTGCTGCTTACTATTTTATCAACTCAATTAACATAGATTGTCCATTTAATAGGAGATGGCTTGTGGACCCCTGTCAATTTGGGATGAATCAAACAATTTCTCTATGCTCTGAGAGCACCAATTTGCCGGGAGATTAAAAAAGATGTTAGATAAGCCACTTCAGCATTGAGTGGTCTCCTGCAGCTGGAGGACCAGTCAAGAACCAGCAAAGCACACAGGAATGACTTGGGGAAATGAAGAGTTAACTTTCAGGCTGAAGGTAGAACATAATTTAAGATACAGATGTAAGAAATTGGGGCTGGAGATATAAATCAATGGTACATAGTATGCTTTCATCTCCAGCACCATGAAGTAGGAAGAGGGATGGAGAAGCTGCCAATTCTATTGAAGGAAGCCCAGTTCAATATGCCTTAGCTAAGTTATATGGGAATAGAATGGAGAGGAGCCAAAAGGTAGACTTAAGTCTTTAGTAGCATGCTTGAAAATGGAATTAAAACAATACCATTTACTATAACATCAAGAAATTAAATACTTAGGATTAAACTTAAAAATATAAAGCAATTTATACAGTAATATTTTCAAACTATTTCTGTTTCTTTAATTTTTTTTTCAAGAAATTAAAAAGACCTAAAGAAATAGGCTTCTGTGTTCATTAATCATAAGACTTAAACATGTTAAGGTGGCAGTAATCCCCAAATTGATCTATAGATTCTATGCAATCTCTACCAGAATTCCAGCTGTTTTATTCTTTTTTTCAAAAATGAACAAGCTGGTCCAAAAATTCATTTGGAAATGAAAGGGAGCCAAATTAGGCAAAATAATCTTGAAAATTAAGGACATACTGATTTCAACGCTCAAAGAGCTATAGTAATGCGGGATAACCGTTCAAAAATAAGTTTGTAAGACTCCATCTTAGCAAGCCTATTAGCCCAGCTATGGGGGGAGCACTAGTAGGAGGGTCACAGAACAGGCTAACTTAAGCATAAATTGAGACAGTATCTTGAAAATAACCAATGTAAAAATGGGCTGCAAGTGGTAGAGTGCTTGCCCAAGAAGGATGAGGCCCTTAGTTCAATCTATAGTACTAAAGAAAATGTCAGGATAGTGTGGGATAAGTGTTCAATATAGACCAGTATAATAGGAATGAGAGTCCAGAAATAAATTCATAAATTTATTTTTGGTAAGAGTGAGAAAATAATTCAATAAGGGAAATAATACTAAACAAATCATCAAGGACAACTGGATATCTACACATAAAATAATAAAGTTGGACACTTACCTTCTATGTCTTTTTTTTTTGGTCGGTCATGGGGCTTGAACTCTGGGCTTGGGCGCTATCCCTCAGCTCTACAGCTCAAGGCCAGCGCTCTACCACTTGAGCCACGCGCCACTTCCAGTTTTCTAGGGCATTATTGGAGATAAGAGATTCACGGACTTTCCTTGCCCGGGCTGGCTTTGAACCGTCATCCTCAGATCTCAGCCTCCTGAGTAGCTAGGATTATAAGCATGAGCCACTGGCACCTGGCACCTTCTATGTCTTACACAAAGACTAATTCAAATTGGGTCAAAGACCAAAATGATCAAGTTCAAATCCTAACTCTTAGAGTAGTTACATTGCTTAGATGGTCTTCATAGGTGACAAAGTACCTGAGAAAACAACTACAGGGAGGAAGGCTTTTTTTGGCTCATGATTTCAGTGATTCTAGTACTAACAGAGCAGAGAAGCTCATATCATGACAGCCGGGAAACAAAGACAATGCCTGTGCTTTCTCATCCTAGCTATGGAATGGTGCCACACACATGCAGACCTATCTCCCCACTTAATCTTCTCTGGAAATGTTTTTGTAGTCAAAGCCTGGAGTAATAATCTCCTAGGCACTTCTGAATCAATCAAGGTAAAAATTAAAAATATCTCTAGAGGGCTGGGAAGGTGGCTCAGTGGTAGAGCGCTTGCCTTGCATGCATGAAGCCCTGGGTTCGATTCCTCAGCACCACATAAGCAAAAAGAAAAAAGCCAGAAGTGGCGCTGTGGCTCAAGTGGTAGAGCGCTAGCCTTGAGCTGAAGAGCTGAGGGATAGCGCCCAGGCCCAGAGTTCAGGCCCCATAACCAGACCCCCCAAAAAAAATTAAAAAAAAATCTCTAGACTTTGCCAAAGCTTCCATGGGGAATAAAATCAACTCCAATTGAAAACTATTGTAAATACTGTGAGAGTTTTCTTACCAGAGTGCCTTGGGAGATAAGCCAGTGATAATCTAGTAGCTCAGTCCTGAGATGTCAGTACACTTACTCTAGTCATGTCTTGGTTAGACAGGGGTCTCAGGTCCTTTGCAAAGTGCATTTAATTCCTTTCTTTCTTTTGCCTCCAGACAGTGGTTAGTGCAATCAGAAAATTCCTAGAGAGCATCTCTGACTTGTACTTGGTCTACACTCACCACCCCCACCTGCTCAGGTTCTTCCTGGTGTATCCAGAGTTGATGAGTAGGTTTGGGCACCGTGTTCTGGAACTTTGGTTCTCCTTTGAAGGGAGCAACTATGAGGAACTGGATGATGTCCCTTTTGCTGAACAGCCCACCCTTCCTCCCAGCTTCACAGACCTGTTCCAGATACTCAGAAGCAGCCCCAGCATTCTGCTCATTTTGATGGTAGGTGACCACTCATTCATTAAGCGATGCCCAGACTTTTGTGAGACAGAAATAAGAGGCACCCATAGCTGCTTCTTTCTACTTCTGAACTTACAGCTTTCTGCATGTGAGTGGGAAATGCCTTCCTATTTGTGGGTACCTGGTTTCTATGAATCCATACCCATTACTAAACCTGGTAGAAATCTATCCACTCATAGAAATGTGCCTCTCTACTCCCCAGAGGTTGTAACTATAAAATGTGGATCTTAGTCACCATTCCTTTTTACTTTTCTACCCACTCTGTCAAGCAGATTCTGCTTGATTCTGTCTTAAGATCAAAGAAGGCCTCAAGGGCATATAGACAGACATGTCTGTAGGCTCATGAGTTGACATACATGATAATATTATTCGCTCAGCATACTTTTGCAGGCATAAGTAAAATTGTCGGAAACCCTAATAGTTTTTTGTGTTTTTTTCCCCCCCTAGGTCCTGGGACTTGAATTCAGGGCCTGGGTGTCATCCCTCACCTCTTCAGCTCAAGGCAAGTGCTTGAGCCACAGCACCACTTCCAGTTTTCTGGTGGTTAATTGGAGATAAGAGTCTCATGGACTTTCCTGACTGGGCTGGCTTTGAACTGTGATCCTCAGATCTCAGCCTCCTGATAAACCACCAGAAAATTGGAAGAGGTGCTGTGGCTCAAGTGGTAGAGCACTAGCCTTGAGCTTAAGAGCTCAGGGACAGCACCCAGGCCCAGAGTTCAAGCCCCACAACCGACAAAAAAAAAAAAAAAAAGAAAGAAAAAGAGAGAAAGAAAAGAAATAGGAGTGATAAAAAAGAACAGCAAGGAACAAGTTTTTGTTCACGTGTATAATTCATACCATTTTCTCCCTGGCTTCTGACCACAAGAAGGGGAAAGATGTCTAAAAATAGGTGTTGGTATCAATTTCTGGCTTTGATATGGGTAATTAACAGCTGAAAACAAGGCTGTTAATTACTATTATCAGTGGGTGGTCTTTTTTGTAGGTGGTTTTAGATGTGAAAAACAATGATGTCACAAAGCTGTTTGCTTGGCCAACTCATCCTAATAGGTCCAGTCCTAAGAGAGTTTGGACAGCTGTGGATAACAGCAAATGTAGTTCTGCCAACTACCTTCCCACTTAACCCAGATGATGGAAGGTACACTTTCCCCAGCTTTCACTATGAACACCAAAAGACCAAGTAGTTTCTTTCCTTTTAGACCTTTAGACCTTTTAGACCTCAGATTTCGGAGGGACTAGCTCTATGGCAGTGAGGCAGGCATGGGCCACTGAAGAAGTAAAACCAGGAAAATGGTTCTGCCTTGGCCCCTTGACCTTGAGCAGATCGCTCTCCCACTCCATGAAGTGAGAGTTGGATGGAATAATATAGATGTTGTTATTGTCTTTTGAGAAAGGGTCTTGCTAAGTATCCCAGGCTGGCCTCAAACTCGATGTTTAGTTCAGGTGGGCCTTAATTTAAGATCTTTCTGCTTGAATCTTCCAAGCCTGGGATGGCAGGTGTGTGCCACTGTGCTTGGTTCTGAAATGATGCAGATTTTTTCCTAGCCCTCTGTTCTGTGATCTTCTCTGCCCAGAGGTGTTTTCTGAATCATAAAAAGTGTCAGCCGGGCGCCAGTGGCTCATGCCTGTAATCCTAGCTAGCTCAGGAGGCTGAGATCTGAGGATCACAGTTCAAAGCTAGCCCAGGCAGGAAGGTCCATGAGACTCTTATCTCCAATAAACCACCAGACAACTGGAAGTGGCACCGTAGCTTAAGTGGTAGAGTGCTTGCCTTGAGCTTAAGAGCTGAGGGACAGCGCCCAGGCCCAGAGTTCAAGACCCACGACCCACAAAAAAAAAAAAAAAAATGTCAGAGGTGGAATATCTCATCCCTTCACTAACACAGTATAATAGACTTTTTTTTTTTTTTTTTTTTTTTGGTTGGTCATGGGGCTTGAATTCTGGGCCTGGCCACTGTCCCTCAGCTCTTCAGCTCAAGGTTAGCACTCTACCACTTGAGCCACAGCCTTTTTTTTTTCTGCTTATATGGTGCCAAGGAATCAAACCCAGGGCCTCATGCATGTAAGACAAGCACTCTACGTCTGAGCCACCTTCCCTTCCCAGCCCCTAGAATTTATAACTCTACTAATTTCTTATTAATTCGCTTCAGTTTCCCCATTTGAGAAATATCTGTGATACCTAATTAGAGGAGTTACTGTAAAGACAGAAACAGCATATAAACAAATGCACAGTTACTACACAAACACAACACCGTACCTGCATTATTAAGCCCTCACTGAGGAGTTGCTACTGATATTTTTGTTTCTTTAGTATCTGCAGAAGTTTGTAAAGAGCCAAGCCAGATGCCTCTGTACCCCTATCCTTCCCTACTTCTCAGTGGTTAGCATAGCAGGATTTGTTTGCCCTGAAGTCAGGTCTCTATGTCAGGATTTGTCCTCCCTGGAGAGAGAGATTCTGTGTGTGACCTTGGATTCATAGCACCCAGTCCTAACTGGCCTAACACATTAGCTTGTCCAAAAGAATTGGCTTGTTTGAGCTGGGAGGTGCCAGGAGCTATCAGCAGTACAAGCACTGGTACAGCTTCTGACTGGTTTTGCCTTTAACATACGCTCATTAAAATAACTCTGATAGCAAAACAAAAACCAATGTCCCTTCCCATTTTCTGAATCCAAACCCTTTAATCGCTTGGGGCAGGGATAGGCAGATGCCAGGGCACAGAAGGGGCTTGACCTGGCCCTCACTTTTCCTTTCTGTGCCCTAAATCTGTCCCAGCCTGTCGTTTTCCTTGCTTATGACATCTCCATTCTCTCTCCTTCTTTTCTCCCTTCTGGCACACTTCAGGTTCCCTGTCCTGAAAACAACCTTTTCCTGACCCTAATATTTTCTTTTGCAAGAAGAAGGCATCCTGAAAAGCAGGAGAGTTGGGCTTGGAGTCCAGAGACTTACATTCATCCTTTGTGTAACAAATAGCTTAAGTGGCCTTAGGCAAATCATAATCTGTTGGAACCTCTGTTCAATCTAGTTTGGGATGGAATTAGTAGAATGGCTTATTCAGAGTGCATGAGGAGTCAGTGCACCCAGCAGAGCCTTTGGTACAAAATGGGTTCTGAATAAGTAGGAGCTTACTCATTTCTGTGACACTATCATCATGAAAACTTTCCCTGTTCCTCTCTTCCTTATTTTCTACCTGACCCAGGCTGTGATACCCTCTGAATTCTGCCTTCTTTCTTTCCTGTGCAGGACCTTATCTATTCCAGCCCAGCAGACATAGCCCGCAAGGTATTGATTGTCCTGAAGACCTTCCTGAAGAAGAATGAAGATATCCAAGTAGGCAGTCTTGTCCGAGGCCACTTCCTGCTCACCCTGCAACACCTGCTGGTGGAGGATGTAGTCCTCCCTTCAGGAGGTCAGTCTCCGATGACCGGACGCCCCCCCCCCAAAAAAAAGGCGGGGCTGGGAAGGTGGCTCAGTGCTAGAGCGCTTGCCTTGCAGGAGGTCAGTCTACAAGTGCCTTGGGGGTTTTTTTGACCTGAAGGCCAGCTACAGGAGTGGGCAGCTCTATCCTGGTTAGGTCAGCTCTGGGAGAATTAAGGGTTTTTCTGCAAAAGTAGAGTCATGCCCATGTGATACAACATGCTCAGTTTTGAGAGAGAGAAAGAAAGAGAGAGAGAGAGAAAGAGAGAGAGAGTTTAACATGAGTGGGTGTGTATGATGTATTTGTGCATGTGCCCACCCTAAGTAGCATGTGCTCAGAGCTACTTGTCACCAGAATGGCAGTCCTCAGTAGGAAGAAGAACGTGGAAATCTGGGGGAAGCTCAGGAGTTAGCAGGGGTCCTAGGAGGGGACTAGATTTGTAGTGTGTTGGAAATTCCCAGTGAGATTCAGAAGGATAGTTTCCAAATCTGGAGTGGAAGTCTAGGAGTCAAGGAAACATTGTCTTGTACAGTAATGACGAGATTGGAAATTAATAGGATTTATTTGTCTTCTATTTTTTTCTGAGCCATCCAGAAAAAGTAGGACACACATGACTCACTTAGTTGAGAATTAGGGTTTAGAGATAGATTTAAAGGCATCTAAAGGAGCTGAGTTTTTGCTCCGCAAGGAAGAACAAGACATACTTAAATAATAATAATACTTAAGAATCATAATATGGCAGAGCGCTGGTGGCTCACACCTATAATCCTTGCTACTCAGGAGAATGAGATCTGAGGATTGCAGTTCAAAGCCAGCCAAGGCAGGACAGTGGGTGAGACTCTTCCCTCCAATTAACCTGAAAACCAGAAGTAGCACTGCAGCTCAAAATGGTAGAGCACTAGCTTTGAGCAAAAGAGCTCAGGGACAGAGCCCAGGCCCTGAGTTGAAGCTTCATGACTGCTAAAACAACAACAAAAAACAAAAACAAAAAAAACCATATGATGGAAGGAAATGTGTGGTAAGAAAGGTACTAGGTACCAGATTCATACTTAGGTTCTGCCCCTGTGTCTTAGTGTTTTCCAGCTATAACAGAATACTGTAGATGTGTGGCTCATTTTGTAACCTTTTTTTAATGCAGAAGAGGCAAGAAAGGAGCTTTTTGGAATCTCCATCCCATTTGTTGGAGGCTCTATCCTTATGCATGACCTAGTCAGCCCTTATGAAATGCCCTACCTCCTTCAAATTCACTTCACATTGGAGGTCATCATGGAAAATTGAGGTCACGAACATTCAGATAATCTAACCCTCCCTTTTATTAGCTGAGTCAGAAAAGTCACTCAGCCACTGTGAGCCTCAATTTTTTAACTGAACAATAGGACTAAGAATTCTTTTTTTTTTTTTTTTTTTTGGTCTGGTTGTGGGGCCTGAACTCTGGGCCTGGGCGCTGTCTCTCAGCTCTTCAGCTCAAGGCTAGTGCTCTACCACTTGAGCCACAGCGCCACTTCCGGCTTTTTTCTTTTTGCTTATGTGGTGTTGAGGAATTGAACCCAGGGCCTCAGGCATGCAAGGCAAGCGCTCTACCACTGAGCCACCTTCCCAGCCTGGACTAAGAATTCTTGTTTCATGTGCGAGTGGTTTTTTGTTGGTGCTGGAGATTAAATCCCAGGGCATCATGCTTGCTAGGCCAGTGCTCTATAACTTGAGTTTCACTCTTAGCCCTTTTGATTTTATTTTGTGTTTGAGATAGGTTCTAGCTAACGTTATCCAGGCTGGCCTCAAACTCAATCTGCTTGCTTCTTTCTCCCAAGTAATAAATTTCAGACATATGCCATTATACACTGTGACTTTCAATGGACTTAGGTAAAATAGAGAATTCCTGATAACAATCTGGAGTTTGTGTTCAGTGTACCAGTTAACTCTGTATTCCACAAAGAAGGAAGGAGATAGGAGACAGGGGTAAATTCCTCATCCCTTTGGAGATAGAGAACTCAGATGCTCTGTGTCTAGGCTCCCTGACCAGCTATCCATGTTCTTCACAGTCTCAGAGAACTTGGCACTGCTGCTGAACCTCCTGTCACTGGTACAACTGAGGACTGAGTCAAAACAAGAACTGGACAGCATGGCCATGAAACTCCTTCACCAAGGTATTTTGGCTTCTTCAGAAAGTGCCCATGGACCAAGGGCTGATGTGTGGTGGAACCCAGTACTGCTAGTGTTTTTTCATTTTTCCACTCTTTTACCCTTTTAGAAGAAGATGGGGGTTCATTTTGTCCTCCAGGGCTGAGAGATCTCTTAAGATTTCCTTTGCTTGTTGCCAACAAGTGTTTGAAAAACCTCCCCACAACACCTCCTCAAAATCAGAGTGTGACAGGCACACACCATGGAGTCCAAAAGACCTCTTGTAGTAACTTTGCCTGTACCAAACCTAGATTCCTCACAGGTAAGATATAACAGTATTTCCTAGCTCAGGGTTCAGATAGGAATATGTAATCTGGTAGATGTGGAATGTCCATATAGTGCCTGTATCAGTTCGTGTTTCCTGGCACTAGGACAGCTTTCTACGTCATCCCACTACTGACCCATGTAGTTGCTATTTCATAGGCAGTGCCTGTAGAAAGAATTATTGAAGGAAGATTGAAAGGGCAAGGAAAAATGTTTTCAAAATGTATGCACTTAGGTTCTTTGGCCACAGGTGAGAATGAGTAGCTTTCCTCACCTAGAGTCCAAACCTTGAGGGATCAATACAGGCTCAGAGAGGACCTCTGGGGACTTCTCCATACCCTGCCTCTGCTCAGTGCTGATTATTATTGTCAGATCAAGATTGACATCAAGCTAGAGAGCGATCTGTATGTGATAAAAATCAACCTGGAATGGAGCTGGGAAGGTGGCTCAGTGGCAGAGTGCTTGCCTTGCATGCCTGGGGCCCTGGGTTTGATTCCTCAACAGAAAAAGCTGGAAGTGGTACTATGGCTCAAGTGGCACTGTGACCTAGCCTTGAGCTGAAGAGCTGAGGAACAGTGCCCAGGCCCAGAGTTCAGGCCCCATGACTGACAAAAAAAAAAAAAATCAACCTGGAAGAGCTTCTGACAAGCTGAGTGTCAGTGCCTCACACCTGTAATCCTAGCTGGGGATTGAGGTTTTAAAACCATCCCCACCAGGAAAGTCCATGAAGCTCTTATCTCCAACTAACCACCAAAAAACCAGAAGTGCAGCTGTTGCTCTAGTGGAAGAGAGCCAGTCTTGAGCAGAAAAAGCTAAGGAGCAGCATTCAGGGGCTAAGGTCAAACTCCATTATTGGCACCCAAAAAAAGCTGTCAAGGAGTAACAGGATGAAACCTGAATGTGAAATGTAGTGCACACTCACATTCTTGAGTACTTGTATTTGAAAACACTGGGTGCAGAGGACTTTGCTTAAGGGGTAAACATGTTGGTAGGGGGAAGGGAAACCTGCTTGTCCAGCTGACCACAAGACAAATCAGTTTGATGTGATGTGGCTGCCAAAAAGAGCCTTGGGTAGGTTTTATATTGTTATAGAGAGAGTGACAATTCCCTGGAGAAGGAGATGTTCTGTTGCTGTCTGTTCTTCAGTGTCATAACTGCTCTATTGTGGGGGAGTGCAGAAGAGTCATCCAATCTGGAGAGTTTATAGGAACTTCACTGGGGAGTTAAAGTTTGACCTGAATCTACTTTATTTTTATTTTTTTTGGCAGCAATAGGTTTTGAACCAAGAGCTTTGAGCTTGCTTGCAGGCATTATACCACTTTAACCATACCTCTAGCCCTTTTTGTGTGTTTGTTTAAATTTTTCAGACAGGGTCTTTGAGTTTTCTCTTAGGAACAGCCTTGAATCACCATCTTCCTACCTAAACTTCCCAGTAGCTGGGATTATAGGGAGACATCACCATGCCTGATTTATTGGTTGAAATAGCATTTTACTAACCTTTTTCCCAGGCTGGTCTGGGCTCACAATTCTAATCTTTCCCTCCTGAGTAAGCTGGGATTATAAGCATATACCACCATACCTGTCTTTTGTTTTTGAGACAAGGGGATTACCATACAGCCCAGGTTGGCATTGAAATAAGAGTTGACCTGACTCATCCTCCTGAGTGCTAGGAAAATTGGCCTGAGCTGAATCTTGATTATCGAATGAGAGTTAAAGAACTAGCCAGAAGGGGGTGGTACAAGAAAGAGAATACAGCCACTGGGTGTGATGGAACATTCCTATAATCCTAGCAGTAACAAGGCTTAGCTATGAGGAACCCAAATTCAAGGATAGCCTGTGCTACATAGTATTACACTGTCTCAAAAATAAAAAAGAGAAGAAACAGGGATGAGGAGATAATATGGCCAAGGTATGGAACTGCATATCCACCACCATCACAGAGTTCCATTGCAAAACTGGATGGTCTAGGGATACCTGCTAAGGTAGCATATTGGCCTAGATGACTTCTGAGGCCCTTTGCATCCTGAAGTCTGTGGTGTCATATGCCTTTGACCAGCTTAAATCACTTTGTTTGGGAACAACTACTGTCTGTTCTGTTTGCTGTGATTCTGTGGGCTACTTATATGGTTAGACCAGATGGAGGGTATGAATGTGCCTTCAAGTTAGCACATGGGTGCCATGTCAGGGACACTTCATTTGGGCATGCTTTCCAAGACTGACATTTTGAAATTAGTTAGATGTAGGCTTTCATCTAGAGAAGTGTGCATGCTGGTGTGTTGTTGAGCCCATAGACTGCTATGCCATAGGGTCACCTGGGAAGTCTTGGTTTCTCTTTCTTTCTTTCTTTCTTTCTTTCTTTCTTTCTTTCTTTCTTTCTTTCTTTCTTTCTTTCTTTCTTTCTTTCTTTCTTTCTTTTTCTTTCTTTCTTCTCTCTCTCTCTTTTCTTTATTTTCTTGCCAGTTCTGGGGCTTGAACTCAGGGACTGGGCACTGTCTCTGAACTTCTTTTGCTCAAGGCTAGCATTCTACCACTTGAGGCACAGCACCACTTCTGGCCTTTTCTGTTTATGTGGTACTGAGGAATTGAACCCAGGGCCTCAGGGATGCTAGGTTAGCACTCTACCACTAAGCCACATTCCCAGCCCAGGAACTCTGGTTTCTTGCAGTGAGCAAACTGTGTGGGAAGTGCAGCCCCTCTGACGTGGACATTCTACAACCTTCCTTCAACTTCTTGTACTGGAGCCTTCATCAGACTACGCCCAGCAGTCAGAAAAGAGGTACAGGGACCCAGGCAGACATGGTGAAGAGAACAATGGGCAGTGTTAGGGGCCCTTACTTCTTTCAATTGTTTTTTTTTTTTTGGTTGGTTAAGGGGCTTGAACTCTGGGCCTGGGTGCACATGTCCCTCAGCTCTTCAGCTCAAGGCTAGTGCTCTACCACTTGAGCCATAGCACCACTTCTGGTTTTCTGGTGGTTAATTGACGATAAGAGTCTCACGGACTTTCCTGCCCCTGCTGGTTTTGAACTGCGATCCTCAGATCTGAACCTCCTGAGTAGCTAGGATTACAGGTGTGAGTCACTAGCACCCAGCTCAATTGTTTCATCTTTAAAAAAAAAAAAGAAAAAAGAAAACAACTAAGGATTCATGTGAGGCTAGTGGTCATGGGTCCACTCAGGTGCTGATAACCTGTGTTCTGGTGATGCTAGGACTCTTGGGCCTCATGCTATTTCTTTGTGTTTGTTTTTGTATGCTTGAAGTTCTACTAGGTGCTGGGCATATGCAAGCACTGAGCTCGGGTTTCTATGTAACTATGTGGCCCTTGCCATAATCTTCCTCTGTAGTTGCGGCTGTGCTCCTGAGCTCCACGGACCTGATAGAGCTTCTGGAGAAGATGCTGGCACTCACCTGGACAGAGATGGACTCTCCCAGAAACCCGCTGCTCTGCTCTGCATGGCTACTCACTGCTTCCTTCTCTGCCCAGCAGCACCATGGCAATTTAAAGGTTGGTCCTCAACTCTATGGTTTTGGGGCATGAGATGGCACTCAAAGAAGTGATAACAAAAATTTGTGAGTTCTGGCCTTAGCTTTGTGGCATATTAGCTTTGTGACCATGGCAACATGTTTATTTTGAATATTAGTTTTCTTACTTACAAAATGAGGAAAACATCCAAGGTTGTTGTAATGTTAATTTAAATTAACCCTTTTTTGTTTTTTGGGTTTTTGATATATGGTTCTCACTATATAGCTCAAGCTGGTCTTGAACTCCTGATCCTTCTGCCTCAGCCTCCCAAGTTCTGGATTATAGGCATGTGCCACTATACCCAAATACATTAATCTTTTTAATATTCATAGATCACCTACAGGCCAGGCTATATTCCTATAGAGGAATAAAAAAATGAATGCAGCTTTGCCCTGCCCTTAGAGAACTTATAGTCTGAACAGTCTTAAAGTAAAATTGCATACAGCAAAGATATTGGAAAAGGCACTTGAGCATAGTATGTGCAGTCACTGAGCCTGCACAAATTTAGGATATAGGGTACATAATCTGAAAAGCTCTGAGGTGTTCTACGTGGCTAGAATACGAAGATGCATGAAGTAGATCAGATTAGACAGTCAAGCAGGGCCTAACCTATAACCTCAAAGTGTCCAGTGGCAAGCTATGGAGTATCACATGTGGTTAGCAGTCATTGCAATTGTTGGAGAAGGTGATGCAGGAAATAGAAGAGTAGTAGACATATCCAGTGGATAGAACACCTCCTTTTCTCCTATTCCTCCCCCGTAGGACCTTGTCACCACGGTACCCTTCATGAGCTCCCCTGTGGATGATGTTAGAAATCTCTTCTATTCCTCTGGATAGAGACCATCTTCTAGCTTCTACGATAGTCTTACATTGTGCCCAGCATTGTGCCAGTGTAATGAGAGCACATAGCTCATTTGGTAGACGTTAAAGCACTTTTAACCTTGGGCTCCTATAGCAGATCTGTGCACGTAGTTGTTTGTGGTTGGTTTGCAGCAGGAACTTTCCCTGATTTTCTGTATGAGGATGTTGGGCCCACTTCTACAGTGACCTGCCCAAGCAGAAATTAGCATCCTGATGTTAGCTGTGTCCTGTCCTCACCTTATAACTAATCAACTGCCGTGTGTGTGTGTGTGTGTGTGTGTGTGTGTGTGTGTGTGTGTGTGTGTGTGTATTGGAGGTGTATTTGCGCGCTTGAACTCAGGGAATAGGTGCTGTCCCTGAGCTTTTCTTGCTTATAGCTAACATTCTACCACTTGAGTATAGCTCCTTCTAGCTTTTTTGGTAGTTGATTGGAGATAATAGTCTCAGTCGGGCTGGGAAGGTGGCTCAGTGGTAGAGCGCTTGCCTTGCATGCATGAGGCCCTGGGTTCGATTCCTCAGCACCACATAAGCAAAAAGAAAAAAGCTGGAAGTGGCGCTGTGGCTCAAGTGGTAGAGCGCTAGCCTTGAGCTGAAGAGCTGAGGGACAGCGCCCAGGCCCAGAGTTTAGGCCCCACGAATGGTCCAAAAAAAAATAGTTTCAGTCATTCCTGCCTGAGCTGCCTTTGAACTGTGGTCCTCTGATCTCAGCTCCTAAGATCAGAGCCACCATCGCCCTGATTATTTTTAATATTTTTGGGAAAGTTTGAGATTTGTAGAAAGGTAAGCAAAGAGTGCAGAGTTCCCATATAGGCTTATACACAGTTTCCTGTCATTCACATCTTATATTATCATGATATCTCTCTACCTTTTTTTACAAGTTGGCTTTTCTGCTTAGAATCTGATTCTTCTGTCAACATAGAATTTTAAGGAAGTGCTTTGTTCCAGCTTGTGACAAAGCCCCCAGGTTCTGGTTGAGATCAGGGCAGACACAGCTTGGAACCTGCTACCTCTGCTAGCCCCTCAGTTTAGATGTTGCTTGACATTAGATACATGCTTACTGATGCTGATGCTCAGCTGTCCCTCACAATAGCTCTGATGGCAGTGAAAACAGGTGGCATTCTTTTCATTTTTTAATAAGTTTTTTATTGTGAAAATACTGTACAGAGGGGTTAGTTATATGAACAAGGCATTGTTGCCTCCTCCTTTGTTATTCCCCTACCATCCCTTCCCTCCCACCTCCACAACTACATTCTCCCTACCCCCACCCCCTGCCTAAATTGTAAAGTTTGTTTTTCAACATAGTCTTATACATCTCATTGTTGCAATGGGTCAACCTGTATCCCTATTTAAACATTTCGTTTTTTTCCCTTCCCCTCCCCAAATTATACCATCAAATACAGTGCAAACGGGTTATACCATAGGGAGGAACATACAAATCAGCAAAAAAAAAAAAATCATATGGTACATTATAAATACACTAGAAATAGTAGCAAGAAAGAAAAAACCACTTGTGTCCCTATCTTGGGGTTCATGTCGCTTAACTTCATCTTATCTGGTCATATGTACATAGCTTTTGACCTTTTCTGCTTGTCCCAGACATATACTAGTTATTGCAAATAAGGGAAACCATGGGACCTATGTTTCTTTGGGCTTGGCTTACTTCACTTAATATAATTTTTTCCAAGTCTTTCCATTTCCTAGCAAATGGGGCGATGTCATTCTTTCTGATGGAAGCATAGAATTCCATTGTGTGTGTGTGTGTGTGTATATATATATGTATAATACATTTTCTTGATCCATTCATCTACTATAGGGCATCTGGGTTGGTTCCATATCTCAGCTGTGGTAAATAATGCTGCAATAAATATAGTTGTGCTGGTAGCTTTAGTATGGTCCTATTTGTGATCATTTGGGTGAATGCCCAAAAGTGGGATTTCTGGGTCACAGGGGAGCTCTATGTGGAGTTTTTTGAGGAACCTCCATACTGCTTTCCAGAGTGGTTGAACAAGTTTACACTCCCACCAACAATGCAGTAGGGTTCCCTTCTGGCCACATCCCCTCCAGCATCTCTTTTCATTTCATAGATGAAGAAAGTGAGGCAAGCTGAAGCAAGTATAATGACGTGCCCACTGATACATGGAAGAGCTAGGATTTTTGGTTTTTGGTTTTTGGTTTTTTTTTGTCGGTCGTGGGGCTTGAATTCTGGGCCTGGGCGCTGTCCCTCAGCTCTTCAGCTCAAGGCGAGCTAGGATTTTTTATTTTGCCTTTCTGACTCCAGTGAAGTGAATGAATGTTGAGTACAGACAAAGACTGAAGCAAAGATGGGAAAGGGGGGCTGAGAAGGTGGCTCAGTGGTAGAGTGCTTGCCTTGCATGCATGAGGCCCTGGGTTTGATTCCTCAGCACCACATAAGCAGAAAAAGCCGGAAGTGGTGCTGTGGCTCAAGTGGTGAGCTGAAGAGCAGAGGGACAATGCCCAAGCCCAGAGTTCAGGCCCCATGACAGACAAAAAAAAAAAAAAAATATGGGAAAGGTTGGGGAAGGCTCCCTGGTAGAGGAGGCTATTGGGAGGAAATTTGCAGAAGAGTTAATTGTGTAGGTACAAGCTCATTTCTCATCACACTGTTGAAAACGGGACTGGATAGGCTCAGAAGACTCTGTGGCCTCCTCTGTTCCCCTGTCCTATCTTGATGAAGCAGGTATGTGGCAGATTGTGGCAAAAAAAAAAAAAGATATGGGATCAGGCTATTTTTTCACATGACTTCTGGAACATGGGACTTAGTCTTTTACCTCTTGCTCTCCCAGGTTCACCAGACACTGTCCGTGGAACTGGACCAAATACTGAAAGCTCTCAGCTTTCCCAGCAAAAAGGTTGCGCTGCTCCTAGGTATGGGCTCCAGAGTTTCTGATGAAAGAAGGAAAGCCTCTAGATTCTGAGATAAGACCACTTACCCAGACTAGCCCATGGGTACCCCATAACTATTTCATCACTATGATCTCCCTGCCCCCATGACAGAGCTAGGTGGGAGATGGAGGAGGAGGCAGGAACTGAATGTGAAGATTCTCCTGTTTTCAGCTGCCATCTTAAACTTCCTGCGGACAGCCCTGCAACAAAACTTTTCCTCTGTCCTGGTGGCCTTGGTGCACTCAGGGTCCCATCCACCAGCATCCCCTGAGAACAGTGTCCTAGCTCCACTGGAAGCATCACAAGTGCTGTCTCTGGTCGTTGGGCTGCAGAACCTTCTGGTTCAGGTAAGGACCTTGCTGAGTGGACTCCTGAGAGTAGGAACTGATTCTTCCAGAACAATAATAGGACAAGTTAGCAGCCTATCAGTGGCCCAGTGGTGCTATGAGGGCCTAGAGGGTCATTGGTTGAGAGGTAAAGCTGCAACAACAGAAACAAAGCTTAAGTTGGCCCCTGGAAAGTCCAGGCGTGACTACTGGCTTCAGACCTAACCTTATATCTGCACATATCAAGATTAAATTTCCCAGGGTCACACATACTATAAGAGATTAAGCATAGATTCAGACCATATCTTTAACCACCAGACTGATGGCCTTCCAAAGAATAGCATATGGGAAAAGCATATGATTTTTGTTTGTTTGCTTTTAGCTTTTCAAGAAATCTGCTTAAGGATACAAAATTAACTCAGAAAAATCAGTAGCTTTTCTGAATACCAATAATGGGAAATCAGGAAAACAATGCCATTTGCAATAGCCTCAAAAATATTTAGGAATAAACCTAACCAAGGAAGTGGAGGACCACTATAGCAAAAGCTATAAAATTCTGAAGAAGGAAGTAGCACTATGGCTCAAAGTGGTAGACTGCTAACCTTGTAGATTTAAAACAAGCAAAAATAACCAAATTGCTTTCCAAAATGGTGATACCAATTTATGAAAATTTCAGTTTCTCCATATTCTCCCAACATTTGGTTTTGTCAGTCTTTTTATTTTTAGCTAATGGTAGATATGTAGTTTTATCTTGTGGTTTTAATGTCTATTTCCCTAATGACTGATAGATTTGTTTCATCATTTAGAACACAAAATTTTATTTCATGAAAGGTTTTGCTGTTTTTTTGTTTTTGTGGTCTGGTCGTGGGGCTGGGCTCTGTCCCTCAGCTCTTCAGCTCAAGGCTAGAGCTCTACCACTTGAGCCATAGCACCACTTCCGGCTTTTTTCTTTTTGCTTATGTGGTGCTGAGGAATCGAACCCAGGGCCTCATACACGCAAGTCAAGCGCTCTACCACTGAGCCACCTTCCCAGCCCAGGTTTTGCTGTTTTTAAAAGTGGGTAAGGGGCTGGGAAGGTGGTTCTGTGGTAGAGTGCTTGCCTTGCATGCATGAGGCCCTGGGTTCTATTCCTCAGCGCCATATAAGCTGAAAAAACCAGAAGTAGTGCTGGGGCTCAAGTGGTAGAGCGCTTGCCTTGAGCTGAAGAGCTGAGGGACAGCGCCCAGGCCCAGAGCTCAGGCCCCATGACCAGCCAAAAAAAAAAAAAAAGTAGGTAAAATGCCGGATGCCAGTGGCTCATGCCTGTAATCCTAGCTATTCAGGAGGCTGAGATCTGAGGATTGTAGTTCAAAGCCAGCCCAGGCAGGAAAGGCCATGAGACTCTTATTTCCAGTTAACCACCAGAAAACCAGAAATGGTGCTGTGGCTCAAGTGGTAGAGCACTAGCCTTGAGCTGAAGAGCTCCGGGACAGCTTACAGGCTGAGTTCAAGCCCCATGACAGAAAAAAAAAAAAAAAAAAAGTGGGTAAAACTCATGGGGTTACACAGTGATATGTTCCAGTGACTAAATCTATGAATCTGAGTCCATTTCCTTTTCTAAAACAGAAAACTTAGAAAAGACAAGGCAAAGGTGCCAGTGGCTCACATCTGTTATTCTAGCTATTCAGGAGGCTGAGATCTGAGGATCGAAGTTCAAAGCCAGCACTGGCAGGAAAGTCCAGTGACACTATTTATTTATTTATTTATTTATTTATTTGTTGTTGGTCATGGGGCTTGAACTCTGGGCCTGGGCGCTGTCCCTTACCTCTTCAGCTCAAGGTGAGCACTTTACTGCTTGAGCCACAGCTCCACTTTCAGGTTTATTGGAGATAAGAGTCTCATGGAAGCCGGGCGCCGGTGACTCATGCCTGTAATCCTAGCTGCTCTGGAGGCTGAGATCTGAGGATCGTGGTTCAAAGCCAGCCCAGGCAGGAAAGACCATGAGACTCCTATCACCAATAAACCACCAAAAACCGGAAGTGGCACTGTAGCTCAAATAGTAGAGCGCTCGCCTTGAGCTGAAGAGCTGAGGGACAGAGCCCAGGCCGAGTTCAAGCCCCGTGACCGACCAAAAAAAAAAAGAGAGAGAGAGTCTCATGGACTTTCCTGCCCAGGCTGGCTTTGAACCGTGATCCTCAGATCTCAGCCTCCTGAATAGCTAAGATTATAGGGGTGAGCCACCAGCACCCAGCCTCGTGAGACTTATCTCCAATAAATCACCAGAAAACCGGAAGTGGCGCTGAGGCTCAAATGATAGAGCACTGACCTTGAGCTGAAGAGCTAAGGAATAGCTCCCAGGTCCAGAGTTCAAGTCCCATGACCAAAAAAAAAAAAGACAAGTCACCTAATATAAGCACCATGCTCTGTATGTGGGTGAGAGATGGTGCCAACCAACATATCTTGATTATCTACAAGGCCACACTCCTAATCGTGAAGTTCTGATATCAAATAATTCTGAAAGAAAGTTTTCTTAGTGAACATTAAAACTTTCTGCTAGTGAAATTGACCCTAATTTCTACTAATTTATTTGTTTTACAGAAGGACCCTCTATTGTCCCAAGCCTGTGTTGGCTGCCTGGAGGCCTTGCTTGACTACTTGAATGCCCGGAGTCCAGACTTAGGTAAAGTGTTCCCCATTATGATCTTTCCACAAGGAAGATTGGAGGGAACCAGCCCTTACCTTACTGCTCCCAGGCTTCCATTCTTACCCACTGTGTGATTCAGACTTACCCTACTTTTTTTTTTTTTTTTTGCCATTACTGGAGCTTGAATTTAGGGTCTTGCAATCTCACACAGCTTTTCCTGCTCAAGGCTGGCACTTTACCACTTGAACCTCACCTCTACTTCTGGCTTTTTGCTGGTTAATTGGAAGTAAGAGGCTGACCAGGTTGGCTTTGAACATTGATTCTCAGATCTCATTTTTCTGAGTGGCTAGCATCATAGGCATGAGCCACTAGGGTCTAGCTTACTTAGCTGTGGCGTGCTGATCCATGGGCTATGTAGTCAGGTACTTGAGAAGTGGTTAGACATGCTCAGTTGTTAAGAGTTCATTTTAGATTAGAGGAAAAGAAAGAGTTCTAGACTAGGAATCAGGAGCCTTTATGTACAGATCAGGTTATCAAGGTTCAAGAGCCCTTCCTTCTGTCTGCCTCCCATAATCATGGTGTATATTGTTCATTGAGCCAGCATAGGTGGTAGAAGCCTATGGAAGGAAGAAACCTTCTGGGGTCAGCCTATCCAATATCCTACCCGTAGCTGGCAGCTCTCTTTTTGAGCCAATAGGAGAAGCCCTTCTTCAGCCATGTGCCCTCAAGCCTTTGGAAAAGCACTACTAAACACCTGGGGACTGGTGTTTCCTACAGCACTCCATGTGGCCTCCCAACCTTGGAATCGATTTTTGCTCTTCACTCTCTTGGATGCTGGAGAGAATCCCTTTCTCAGACCTGAGATACTGAGGCTTATAACGCTGGTAAGTGTAAGTAGCATAGTCCTATGGTCTAAGGAGTGTTAGGAGCTTGAATGGTGCTGAAAAGGCCTAGGAAACAATAGTTCAGGTCACCCTAACTCTGAAAGGAGGTGGAGAGGCTGAATGGCCTTTACCCTATAGAAGTTCTGCTTGGAGAATTATTTAAATGTCCACAGGTCCTCATCACAGGAGACTTGTACAGCTCATATTTCTCTTATGAAATGTTGACCAGAGTTTACTGCCACATGCCAGGCCTACTAGGTACTGAAGGTGTAGAAGAGCCAAATGCTCTGCTTCTAAGGTTCCTTTAGTCTAGAGGAGACAGACAAATTAATAGTTAAATATGATATTCTGAGCAGTAGAATGGAGAGGATGCTGAGTTAGCCACATAGTAAATGCCTACTCTTTAAAGAACAAAGCAGGCAGCCTATAAATTATACTGAAATGAACCCACAGATAGATCCATTGTTGGTATGGAAACACAGAAAAAAGAGTAACTGCTTCTGTACAAGGAAGGCAATGTTTCAGCGGAGGCTTGAAGAGTTAGTAGTGAGGAAGAAGGTATTCCAGGTAGTAAAGTGAGAACAATTGCTGTAAGAGCACATGGTGGGAGGTTATGGAACTGTGCACGGTTCATCTTAGCCATGAGTGTGCAGTGCATGACAGGAAGGAGGAAGCCAGCGCTGAAGGAATCAGTAAGGCCAGCTTTCTCAGGATCTCACTCTGTGTCATATATGTCATTTTCCTTTGATACAACTCTACTCATACCCACCTTGAAGACAGGGTTCTGTGGGCTTTAGAACAGTGTTCCCAGCCCAGAGCTGAGCACAACAGAGCACAGGAACTGGCATCTCTTCCAATCACTTAATATTTGGACTTCTCTTTCTGGACCAGTTTGTGCGGTACCAGAGCAGCAGTGTCTTCTCTCATGAAGAGGTGGGTCAAGTTTTGGAAGCGGCAGTTTTGGCGGACTTTTCTACCCTCTCAAATACCACAATCCGGGCTCTACGTAACTTCTTCCTGCAGGTAGGTAGAAAGAGGCAACATGAAGCCCTTATAAGACTAAACTCTCATGAGGACCTTCTCCATGGCGGGTGGAAGTTTTGGCCACAAGTGCCATTCGGAAATCAGGAGTTCCAGAAGTGGGACGTTAGAGAGGACCTACTTTCTTCACTCAGGTGCAGAGCATGGGCCTTCTGACTGACCACAACACAGCCCAGACCCTGCAGGCCTCCCTGGAGGGCTGTTCCCCTAGTACCTTTTCTGCCCAGCCTCTTCAGGACATGCTGTATCCTTTCTTGCATCTGGGAGTGTTGGCCTGAGCAAGGTCACTCAGGCTATGGATGCTGTGGCATCTTAGCCCAATTAGAGAGGACTGATGACTAGTGAGTCCTTTAGAAAGCCCCTGATTGAGGCTGGTCATAGTGGTGCCTGCCTAATTCAAGCACTTAGGATGCTGAGACAGGGGAATTGGGAGTTTATGTCCAGCCTAGGTTGTATAGTGAGTTCCAGAGCAGCCTGGGCTATATAGCCAGTAACCATGCGTCATAGACATTGGTGTGTGGGGAGGGTTGAAGGAACTTCCTACCCAATACTGTTGCCTCCCTTTCTCCCCCTTCCTAACTCAGGTGTTCAGGTGTCAACTTTGGAATCTACACAGCTATTTTTCAGGAGCATCTTATTATTTTTATTTTTTTGCCAGTCCTGGGGCTTGAACTTAGGGCCTGGGCACTGTCCTTTAGCTTCTTTTTGCTCAAGGCTAGTGCTCTACCACTTGAGCCACAGCACCACTTCCAGCTTTTTCTGTTTATGTGGTACTGAGGAATCGAACTCAGGGCTTCATGTATGCAAGCACTCTTCCACTAAGCCACCTTCCCAGCCCGAGCATCTTATTTTTGTTTGTCTGTTTGTCCTCTTGGGGCCCTGAAAGTGTGATTCTCCCCCACTGTGGTGGACCCATCTCTCGTGTTTTCCTCTCATGTATGGTATCAGCTGCCTGGGAGGGGTAGCTGTATCCCTGTCCCACATCAGAGACTGAGCCTCATGACTTAAGAGATCCAGAAACTAAGAGCCATAAGACCTGCAGACAACAAAGTTAGGGCATAATTGTTGCAGAGATGGATGACAATCTCAGCCATGCATCTGGGACCATATACTCCATTGTGGAAATGGAATCCAGAAATAAAATGATACACTCACACACCTTTGTGGGCTCCTACTCTAAACTCATCTTGTTTCCTTGGGGTCAGTTTCTTAGCTAGTAAGAGAGTGGGCTGTCTCAGCAAGTGATGAGATGAATCACTTCAGGGAGACAGCAGATGTGTTATGGCAACACTACCTAAATAGAACTAGTGTCTCACCATCCTTAGGGCTGGGAGGACAATGGAAGGCCTTAGAATTGGAGCTGCTGGTAGCTAAAAGTGAAGGTGGAGGAAGGGATGATTACAAGGCTAGGAAAGCTGAATATGTTTCAGCCTAGCTAGCAGATGAAAACTTCCCTGGATGCAGCCTTCCCTGGCTAACGTGGGTCCCCTCTGTTCCTTTCCCTCACAGTTTGCTTACATACCCATATAAGCAGTCCTTATTTCATGTGTGCTTCCACTGGCCTGGTGGTACCAAAGTCTGAGCTCAATTGTGTCCTGGCCTGTTCAAAGGTCAGCATAGCCTGAGGCTCTAGTTCCCTTCCCTCTGGCAAGGGTCCCACCATTCCTAACTGACCACACCACCTGTCCACTTAGGATCTGGCTGTCCTGACTCTTCGCAAAACTGGGGCTAAATGACGGAAAAGACAACTTGGTTTATGAGTTGTGGACGGGAGGGGAAAGCAGGGGATGTCCGTACTCCATGTTGCGGACTGTGTTGGTTTCTTAAAAACGAAAAATTAAAAAAAAAAAAAGAAAAATTAGTGCTAGTTACAACCTGCCAAGATGATCTTGTGAATTGCAATTAAAACACGTTCATGAATGACGAAAGTGGCCCGGCCCTTAGGGCTTAGCGCTGCAGTTTGCTGACTCGTGCTTTAGATCCCACCTGCAGCTGATAGTTTGCTGACGCGGGCTTTAGATGGAGCACAGATTCCACAGCAGTTTAACTTCCTCCAACTCAACTTTAAGCACCAGCCACGATTGTCAGCGGCGTGTGGCTGACAACCTCCGGGCTCAGAGCCAGCGCCCGGCTGGGCGGGGCCCAGCGGTGTGGGCGGGGCAGGAAGTGATGTCAGCAGAGCGCGGCGGTCGCGGCCCACTCTCATTGGCCGGGAGCCGGGCACTGGGCGGGGCGGCTCCCGCGGTCTCTAGGAGCGGTTAGCCAGTGCTCCGCTGTTCCACGCGTCTCGCGCTAGCCTGGTGAGTTTTCTGCTGAGCTTTGCACGAAGGGGCAGAGAAGGGGCGTCCCGCCTGCCCCCCGCCCGTACCACCCGCTCTGGTAGGTGGTGGCGGGGCTGCAAGCTCCTGGGGAGGGGAGTGCGGAGACCGAGGGCCTCGAGCGGAGTGCGGGATGCGGGGAGGTGTTGCAGGACTGGGACCCCTTAACTCCTTGAACAGACTTGGCTTCCTTCTCCGAGGGCCCCCGGGGCCCGCGACCTCCGGGGCCCTGCTGAGAGCCCGCCACCGCCACTGTCACTTCTGTAGAATGGTGCAGCCTCCCCCGCGAGCGGGAAAGAGCTCTGCGACGCGCGGGACGGGAGTCTGTTTGAGAGGCTCAAAAACTAGAAGTTACTGTCGAGAAAGCCGAATGGACCCCTCGCGTCTGCTTTTCTGGCTTTCTTTCCCCAACCCTTCTCCGGCTCCAGTCTTCGTCAGATGTCTGATACCTTGCTACCACTCTCTCCCCACTTCTCAAGTTTTGCTCTATAGCCTGGTGACGGTGGAAGATAGAAGGGTCTTGGGTGGACTTGGGGTCCTTCTCCCAGATTTTAGTTGTCTCCTCTGCTAAAGGACAGGGGTTGGTTGACATCTGTGGCCTCGCACGGTCTGTAACTGGCCATCTCTTCTGGGGTGGGTGTCATGGTACATGAGTAGCCAGTTGTGATCTGAGGTAGCTTATGCTCATTTAGAAAGACAGGAAGCTGTTTGACAGCTTACGCCTGTAATGCCAGCAGTTGGGAGGCCACCTCAAGGGTACCCAGAATTTGAGGCCAGCTGGTTTACATAGACCCTGGCTAAATAACCAAAAAAAAAAAAAGAAAAGAAAAGGAAGAGCACAGAACCAAGAGGCATACAGGTTTAGTCTGGAAATAGCTGTGTGACCCTGGGCATTCACCTCATTCTTCTATGGCTTAGTTGTTTTCATTGTGGTAAAAGTTGGATTTCATCACAGGGCAGCTGTCACTAGAAGCCAGGGGCCACTAGATGAGCGCCTGGAACTGTGGTAGTCAATTATGGAGTGATGCTTGAATAGAAGCAGGTGTTGCATGTGGTCCCAAAGTGAGTGAGTAGCAAGTTCCCACCAACTGTCCTACTTCCCTTCCCACTCTATACCCTTCTTTGTACTTTTATGGCAAGTTAGGGAAGGAGGGAAATAACAGGAGTTTTCTGTTCCTTCTCACTGCCTGGGCTTCCTTGACCTGATACCTTCCCTGGAGGTCAGGATAGGCCAGGCACTTTTCACCCAGACTTAATCCCTTGCAGCAGAAAGGTGGCTTCTTCAGTCCTGTGGAAGCAAGGAAGCTGAGATTTAGTGAGTTGACAGTTTTCCCCAGTAGTACAGTAAGATCAGAGCACCGACCTATAGCTCTAGATCCTCCGCCCCTGTGCTGTAAGCATTGTTAACATTTAAATTCCTTCCTCCTCCTGTCATTCCATGGGTTTTCATTGTGTAACTGCTGGCCACCAACCCTGGGCTTGATCTTCAGGGCGGCCCAAAGCTGAGTCCTAGGTGTTCGGAGATGATACCATGTCAGCGGAAGTAGCCGTTCTCTGCATCCTGTGTTATATAACATCAACCTCTAAGTCATTCCTCCTCTTTGGATTATTTCTTTAGCTCCACGGTCTTAGATATGGACTTTCTTCAGTTTTTAGCCTTTCTCTTTCTCCTGCTGTCTGGAACAGACACCACAGGCACCCTGAAGCCCTTGAACCCAAGCCTCAAGATTTGTATCTTTTGGGACTTGTGGTGGGATTAGTGAGCTGTCTGTAAAGAGTCAATAAAGGAGGTCTCTCTATATCCCCACTCCATGAGGGATTCTAGGAATGAGCAGACCTAGCTGGTGGGAATAGGGGAGAAAAGATTAGGCACGCCAACAAGACCTTGAATAAGTCAGTTTTCTTCTGACTTTGTTTTACCATATGTTAAATAGAAAAGGCAAACATCTCTCTGATTCTCAAAGACTCAGTAAGAACTATAATTATGTCTAGTGCCTTTTCAGCAAGACCCCCAGATAGGTCTCAGGAACTGGAATGCTGCTATTTCATCTTGAATAGGTTGCACTGGGCCACATCCTCTCGGCAAGGCCTCAAGAATTCAAAGGTGAGTGAGGACCAGTCCCAAATTTTGAGACACCATCCAAACAAATGGTCTTTGCACTCAGTCCTCAGTGCCATGATGGATGCAAGAGAGATTGGAAGTTACACTGAGCTATGGGTTATAAGCTGGATCTTACCTTCCAGGCAAGAAGGTTCTGTGTGAACTGATCAGTGAGGGTTCACTGGAACAATGATTGTGAGAGACAGCAGGAAGGCCACACGGAAATGAAGCCAGGTCCTGAAAAGTTGGCTTCAGATTACTGGGTCCACTGGGAACTAGATAAATAATTCATTAGAGGACCTGTACAGGTTAAAGGGTGGAGGTGTGGCTCCTATGGTAGAGCACCTGCCTAAGCAGAGTAAGGCACTGAGTACAAAAAATTTTTTTTGTATGAGTACTGGGGCTTGAACTAAAGGCCTCATGCTTTTGCTTGGCTTTGTCATTCAAGGCTGGTTTGAACCATACCTCCACTTACTGCTTTTTGCTGGTTAGTTGGAGATAAGAGTCTCTAGGACCTGTCTGCCTGGTCTGGCTTTGAACCTTGATCCTCAGCTCTCAGCCTTCTTAGTAGCTAGTTTTACAGGCATGAGTCATGGTACCCAACTTAAATTTTTTTTTAAATAAATAACTCTTCCCTTAGGGATCCTACTTATATTCATGGCCTTTACAAATATTGGCTGGCTAAGAATGGGTCCTCTGGGTCCGGACACTGGATTGTCCGGGCAGGGCTATCACGTTAGTTCCTTAACTTAAACTACCCAGATAAGAAACTGTTTGAAGTGAAACGTCGGGAGCAGCTGTCAGCACTGAAGAACCTGGTGCAGCTGAATGATGTTCACCAGCAGTACAAGATCCTCGACATCATGCTCAAAGGACTTTTTAAGGTGTTTGGGGACAGGGGGCAGCCTGTGGCAGGCCAGATAATTGATGTGGGCACTAAATAGGTAGAAGTTCCCTAAAGGGCTGATGTTTGGTGAGAGAGACAGAACTTGAAACGGGATTCAAGTAAATGAGCCTGGGGCTATAAAGGGCTCTACAAAGCCACTAAACCCAGGTGGGGTTTCCTCAGGTGCTGGAGGATTCCAGGACAGTGCTCATTGCTGCTGATGTACTTCCAGATGGGCCTTTCCCCCAGGATGAGAAGCTGAAGGATGGTATGGTGTCTCTAACCTTCCCCTTTTGGCTCCACTACTTTGCTTTTCTCTAGTCGCTCTTTTATTTATTTATTTATTTATTTATTTATTTATTGTGCCAATACTGGGGCTTGAACTCAGGGCATTGAATTCCTACTTGGCTTTTTGGTCATAGATCATGTGCTACCACTTGAGCCATATTTCTAGTCCAGCATTTTGTTGGTTAATTGGGTGATAAGAGGCTCTTGGACTTTCTTTCTTTCTCTTTCTTTCTTTCTTTCTTTCTTTCTTTCTTTCTTTCTTTCTTTCTTTCTTTCTTTCTTTCTTTCTTTCTTTCTTTCTTTCTTTCTCTTTCTCTCTTTCTCTCTGTATTTCTCTCTCCCTCCCTCCTCCCTTCCCTTCCCTTCCCTTCCCTTTTCTTCCCTTCCTTTTTCTTCCCTTTTCTTTTCTTTTCTGTGTACTGAAGGCTTCATGCATGCTAGGCAAGCACTCTGCCACTAAGCCATATTCCCAGGTTCTCCTGGACTTTTCTGCTTAGGTTTCTAACAGATTCTCAGAGCTCAGCCTCCTGAGTAGCTAGGATTACAAGCATGAACCACTGGTACCTGGCTTCCTCTTTTGTTTTTATTATTTTTTCCCTGGAGTGCCATCTTGTGGAGTCTTCTAAGAGGTCTCCTTTGGTAGATTAGAGCTTAGTCTGTGGTTTTTCAAGGTTCTTTCTAGGTTTCAGAGCTAGTTTCTTTTTCTTGACACATACTCCTTTATGCTCTCCTATGCTTAGGGTAGGGGAGCTGTCCTATGCTTAGGGTAGGGAAGCCAGGGAGGAGCTTCTGCCCATCACCATTTGGCCCTAGGGAAATAAATCATCTTTTTATTTTTTATTTTTTGGGTCCAGTCGTGGAGCCTGAACTCTGGGCCTGGGCACTGTCCCTCAGCTCTTCAGCTCAAGGCTAGTGCTCTACCACTTGAGCCACAGCGCCACTTCCAGCTTTTTTCTTTTTGCTTATGTGGTGCTGAGGAATCGAACCCAGGGCCTCAGGCATGCAAGGCAAGTGCTCTACCACTGAGCCACCTTCCCAGCCCAATAAATCAACTTTTAAATCCAAAAGGTTTAATGTTAATGGATGAGCTCTGAAGTATAGACTAGTTCAAGTAATAGAGAAATTTGAAAGCACTAGAATCTTGTTGATCTGTTGCTTTCCTAACATCAGTTCCTCTGTTGGTCAACTTCTTCTGGAAGGAAGGCAGCAGCTGTTCCCTTTTGAAGGAGAAAAAGTAAATGACTGTTAGTGCAGTTGAGCCAAAGGGTGTAATTACTAGCAGTCATTGCTACTACCCTAAAAGGCTCAGCCTGATTAAATGCTTTTGTGTGTGTTAGTATACCTGCATGTGTGTGTGCACACGTGAGTGTGTGTACCAGTCCTGGGGCTTAAACTCAGGGCTTGGGCATGGTCCCTGAGCTTTATTGCTCAAGATTAGCACTCTACAACTCCACAGCTCCACTTCCAGCTTTTTTGGTGATTAATTGGAGATAAGAGTTTCACAGGCTTTCCTGGTTTGGCTTTGAACTGCTGGCTTTGAACTGAGATCTGATCCTCAGATTTCAGCCTCCTGAGAAGCTAGGATTACAAGCATGAGCCACCAGTGCCTAGCTTAAATGCTTTTTTAGACAGGGTAAGAAAAACATGCCAGTAAAATGTTGTATGTCTTCATTCCCTCTTCTAAGAACTTCTCTTCAGCAGTGGTAATCCCTCTAACCTCTATTAACTGGTTATATTTTAGCAATAATATTTTCTAGGTTATACTGGGAGAGGATGGAAGCAGCCTTTAAAAATAATCTATTGGGTGACTTTGAAAATGTCATCTCTAATCTTCCTAAAACTATGAAGCATGCGCTATTTCCTCCATTTTCCAGATGGAAGAGGACAAGTGATTTGCTCTGGCTTTTCCCTCTGAACTAAGCTAACTTCTGAGTCCCCTGAGGTTATGGTTATACTGAAACCCAGGGGTCCCTTCTCCACTTGTCTGAGACCCAGCTTGGCATATGTTTGGCCTCTGCTTATCTCCCTCGGATGCCTGGTCAGTGCTGGGGAGGACCGCATGGGACATCTCTGTTTCTGGAGCCAGCTACATGCTTATTTATGTTCGGTGAGGCACTTGCTACAGCTATGAACACTAACTAGCCTTGGTCTAACTTGACCTGTTGAGGCTGGAAGCTTGATATAAGTGGTAGAAAGCATTCTAGCAAGTTCCTGAGTTCAAATCCCAGTGCTGCCAGAACTAGTTGACTAGAGAAGAACATGAGTGGGAAGACTGGTAAAATTTCACTAAGTTCTGTAAGTTGATTAATAATCTGTGGATGTCAGTGGATGCTATTCCCTTCTCTGATTTGGGTTTGGTGGGTGCCTCCATTTCCTGGAGGCCTGGGGTCAGCTGGCAGCGGCAGGAGGACAGAGACCCCAACGACTCACCAAGGTCCTCTTGCCAGCTTTCTCCCATGTGGTGGAGAACACAGCATTCTTCGGTGATGTGGTGCTGCGTTTTCCCAAGATTGTGCACCATTACTTTGACCACAACTCCAACTGGAACCTGCTCATCCGCTGGGGCATCAGCTTCTGTAACCAGACAGGTGTCTTTGACCAGGGACCCCACTCACCTATCCTGAGCCTGGTAAGGACTGGGGTGGATGAGGCCCGGGAGCCTTCTGTCAGTGCTTAGCTTTTTGTGTGTGTTTATTTGAGAGTGGGTCTCATTATATAGGCCAGGTTGGCCTTAAACTCAGAATCTTTCTGCCTTAGCCTCTCAAGTGGTAGCCTTACAGATGAGGATGCAAGGTATGGTGCTGGCCACCATGCCCAGTACTTGGTTATGTTTTCTTTTTTTTTTTTTTTTTTTCCTTTTTTTTAGTGGTCCGTTCTTGGGGCCTGAACTCTGGGCCTGGGCGCTGTCCCTCAGCTCTTCAGCTCAAGGCTAGCGCTCTACCACTTGAGCCACAGTGCCACTTCTGGCTTTTTTCTTTTTGCTTATGTGGTGCTGAGGAATTGAACCCAGGGCTTCAGGCATGCAAGGCAAGTGCTCTACCACTGAGCCACCTTCCCAGCCACTTGGTTACATTTTCTGTGATAAGCTTCAGACCACTTTGGGCTGTGGAAGGAAGCCTCATTTCAAGAGATTCCATGCCAACCTGGCTTCCTAGAGGTCATCATTTGGCCTGTATTTGCCAAGGTTGGGGATTCAAGTCCCGCATGGTGGTAGTGGCTCCCTGGTAAACAGGAAGCAGAAAGCACAGAATGACTAGCTTTCCTTCATCTGCAGATGGCCCAGGAGCTGGGGATCAGCGAGAAGGACTCCGATTTCCAGAACCCATTTAAAGTAGGCCGCGCAGAGGTGAGCTTCTGGGGCCTGTGGCTGTGGGATGTCTAACCAGCAGAGGCCGGAGCTTAGGGTGGAACATGAGGCTTTAGAATCAAAGCCAGACCTTCCTGGTTCTGGGTCTAAAAAACATACTCTTGGCAGCCTTCGGGCAAGCCACTGCTCTTCTCCATGAAAAGACATCTCATGGCTTATTCTTTCTCACTTTATTATTTGAGTCACCTTGTGTGTTTGGCTGAACTCTGAGGGTAGTATCAGTGCCTCAGTTGCCATATTTTGTATAATCCAAGGCTGCCCGATCACCAGGAACAGAAGATAAATTTGGATCTGTCAGATTGTAACATCCTATGCTATTACATAGGGTCACCTTCAGAGGCTGTGTTGGATAGTGTCAGGCACAGCAGAATAGTTAGTTCAGTACTGGTTGTAGATGTTTGGGTTTTCCCCTTTCCAGGATGGGAGTGACATCCTGCAAATGAGTGGCAGTGGCAGCTGCCACTGAGCTCAGGCAGGGGGTGATGCTAGTGCTAAAGGACAAAGCATTCATTGTTTCTGCGCCTTCTGAGTCTGAGTGCTGAGATTATTGCTGCAAACCTGTATGTCCTATCAGTTCTGAGAGATTCACCTTCACACCAATTGCCCCTCCTCTCACAGAAGGGGGTCAGATATAAGTTGAACCAGTATAATTTTACTCCTGATTTTTAGAGACAAATTAGCCTGGTGTGTAGTACCTGCCTTTAGTCCCAGCTCTTTGGGAGCTTAGCAGTAGAATCACTTTAGCCCAGGAATGCAAGATCAGCCTTGGCAAAGGAATTGAGAGACTGTCTTAGAACACAGAAGAGACCCACTGTATTTCCCGTCTTTGTTCATGTTGACACCTGCAGGAGGAGTCAGCACAGAGTATACTCAGCCACATGGTCATAATCTTAATGACTCACCATTCCTACCGGAGACTCTGGTAGTTGAGCTAGAAATCATTCTTTTGCTTTGTGCCTGTCCCTGGAGTAGGCATGTTGCCAAATCAAAAGCAGTGACACAGTCAGACGCAGTGGTGGTAATGAGGCGGGGAACATTTGATTAGCAGTGATTCCAGTTGATCCCTTCAGGATGGGCTTTCCTGTGGACATCCAAACAATGACCCCTATCTAGTTTACAACCACACAATGTTTCCACAGTTGGTGGTCCCAAAGAGGAGTTGATGTCTTCGATCTGTCTGTGTGTTATATGTTTTGTTTTTTTAATTGTAGTATGCAAATTGAACACCCCAGGTTTCTTGCATGCTAAAAATCTACACACTCAGACTTTTCTTTCTTTTTCTGTTTCTGTTTTTTTTTTTGGGTCCAGTCGTGGGGCCTGAACTCGGCCTGGGCGCTGTCCCTCAGCTCTTCAGCTCAAGGCTAGCGCTCTACCACTTGAGCCACAGCACCACTTCCGGCTTTTTTCTTTTTGCTTATGTGGTACTGAGAAATTGAACCCAGGGCCTCAGGCATGCAAGGCAAGCGCTCTACCACTGAGTCACCTTCCCAGCCCCTCTGTTTCTGTTTTAAGGTAGGGTCTCATTAAATTGCCCAAGATGATTTCAAACTTGTGATCTACCTGCTTCATCCTCTTGACTAGTTAGGGTTAAAAACATGTACAACTTTGCCTAATGAATCTGCAGGCTTCTGAATGGTAGACCAGATGTCTAGTATTCCCCAAACTGCCATTGGTCTGAGTATTCATTAGAAAATACAACATGCTATTGTATTCATGACTGATGATTTGCTAAGATCCACAGGACTCAGCATGTAGTCATGCTCATGGCTGTGATTTCTATGGAGAAAAAGTACAAAGCAAAGTCATAAAGGAAAAAGTACTTGGGGCCCAAGTCCAGGGAAACCAGCTTCCAGAGTTCTCTCCCAGGAGAGTCACACATAGAGTGCTTGATTTCCCCAGCAGGGGAATTAATATGGGCAGTATGGTAGGCCAGTCCCCAGACTCTTTGCAAGGGCTTTGGCCTTTGCTCTTAGAAACATGGAGAGATAGGGTAGTGGACTCTGAGTACTTTAGAAGGGTCAATCTGACTGGGGCCAGGAAAAAGCAGGGATAGAGTGAAGAGGCTGCTGTCCTTGTCCATTTGGGAGCTGATGATAGCTTGAATGAGGATAATAAAGTAGAGCTAGTGAGAAAGGCCCGAGTTCTAGTTCTCATTTGTAGTAGAGCCAGTTGAGTTTGCTGAGGAAACAGATGTAAGAGAGGGAGAAAGAAGCCTTCAGGATACTGAAAGGTTTTTAGCATCAGGAAGAATGACCCATAGCTAAAGAGGAAATTGAGAGTTTGTTTCTATACCAGGTAAGCATCTGAATGAAGATATCAAGGAGATGACTGATCATATCTCTAAAATCAGTCACATGTGACAGTCATGCTGTATAGAGCCACTCAAAGTCATGGGACAGGATGTGGTCACCTGGGGCCAGATAGATTGAGAAGCTGTCTGAGGACTAAGCCCTGGGACAGGACTGCCTGCCATTAAACAATGGAGAAATGAGCTAGGCACTAGTGGCTCACACCTGTAATCCTAGCAACTCTGAAGGCTGAGATTCAGAGGGTTATCATTCAAAACTAGCTCAAGAAGGAAAATTTGAGATTCCATTTCCAAAAATAACCAGCAAAAAGCTAGACTTAAGGGATCCCTCAAGTGCTAGAGCACCAGCAGAGCAAGCAAGTTGAACAAACATGAAGCCCTGAGTTCAAATACAAAAAAGAAAAACAACAGGAGAAAGTTGAAGCCGCCATAGAACCTCAGAAGGAATAGTCAACATGAAGAAAATGTTTTCCTAGAGGCCACTTGAGAAAGCATTACGTGAGAGTAACCAGCTTGTCAAACACTGTTGAGAATTGAAGGAAGATGAGAACTAAGAATCAATTACTGGATTTCGAATTGAATGCTGGAGGTCTTGATGGAAGCTGCTGTTAGTGTGTGTATATGTGTACTAAGCGTCTTGTGTTCTAGCTTTGTTTTTTTCTTTTTTTTTCTTTGTTTTTTTTGGGGGGTTTTTGGTTTTGTTTTGTTTTGTTTTCTCTTAGAGCTGGTGCTCTACCACTTGAGCCAAACCTCTAGGCCAGCTTTTTTGCTGGTTAATTTGAAAGAGAAATCTCAGAATTTGCTCCCTCAGCTGGCTTCAAACCTTCCTCCCCAAATCTCAGCTTCCTGAGTAACTAGGGTTATAGCTGTAAGCCACCAGTGCCTGGCTGATAGATGTGGTTTTGATGTACAAGTAGGGCAAAAGATTGGGTTTCTGGAGAATGACAAGTGTACTCAGGTGAGGCAAATTTAAACAGCCCTTTTGGGGGGTTTAGGTCCTGACTGGAATAGACCAATGGCAGATTGGGGCTGGGGGTTAAATTTTAATCAGAGAGGAGTAAGGAAAGCATGTTTGTATGTTGATGGGACTCTGAGGGGAGAGGGAGCTGAGCTGTTGGAGCCCCATTAGAGAGGAAGCAAGATAAAAGCTGGTCCAGGGAAGACCTACCAGGAGTCATTGAAATTAGACTTGAAGGGTTAAGTAGGCATTGCTCAGCTGGGCAGGGGAGGAAGTAGAAAAAAAGGGATGAGCAAGTTTCTGACCTAGCTGGGTTTGGGCTGAGCTACCTGAAACTGGCTACACTAGGATCTCTTGAACTATCCCTTCCTCAGCCAAAGTCAGAGATGTTAGAATCTACTAGGATCTGAGGGGTCTTTCAGCTCCTTTGTTTTGATGGTACTGAGCTCTGAACTCAGGGCCTCATGCTTGCCAGGCAGGTGTTCTACCACTTGAGTCACACTCCAATCCTCCAGCTCCTTTTCAGCAGCGCAGGATTCACAGATGAGATTGGAGCAGTGGAAGATGGGTGGGGGAACTCTTAGATTAGTCCTGGTTAGGTCTGTTTCTATCTCTGTGACTTGCAAGCATCATTTTCCATCTCTGGGCCATGCTTGTGATTTCCCCGTCTGAAGGCGTGGACTATCTACCTGGTAGGTGGATAGGGCCACAAGGTGGAGCTCTTAGTTTATCATGTGTACTTGATATTTTTTAAATTTTTAAATTTTTTATTTTTTGTCTGTCATGGGGCTTGACCTCTGGGCCTGGGCACTATCCCTCAGTTCTTCAGCTCAAAGTGAGCACTCTACCACTTGAGCCACAGTGCCACTTCCTGTTTTCTAGTGGTTTATTGGAGATAAGAGTCTCACGGACTTTCCTGCATGGGCTGGCTTTGAACCGTGATCCTCAGATCTCAGCCTCCTGAGTAGCTAGGATTACAGGCGTGAGCCACCGGCGTCCGGCTGTACCTTGATTTTTTAAAAAAATTTTTTAAATTTTTTATTGTAAAGATACTATACAGAGGGTTACAGTTACATGAGTAAGGCGATGAGTACACTTCCTATTGAGCATTGTTACCCCCTCCATTGTTTTCCCCCTATCATCCCTTCCCTCCCTACCTTCCCCGAGGTTCTTTTTTTTTTTTTTAATTGTGCTTAAGTGATTACATAATTTCCCGAATTTCACAGTATTGTGGAATAATGATGCTCATTTAAAGTCACAAGTTCATTCTAACTTTCCTGGAGCAAATTGTCTATCACAGTCTATAACATATAACTGTGTACACATATACACCATACATGTGATCAGCAGCATGGGGATATTTAGTAGTGGTTCGACCAGATGAGTGGGAGTTGTTTGTTTCTTAAGTCCTGTTAGTTTTGTCGTATCACCTAATATTTTGGATTTAGCATCCACTTATCAGGGAGACCATGTACCGTTTGTCTCTTTGCTCTTGGCTTACCTCGCTCAACATGATTCCTTCTAGCTCCATCCATTTCCCTGCAAATGCCATTATTTTGTCCTTTCTAATGGCTGCATAATATTCCATTGTGTATAGATACCACAATTTTTGGATCCATTCATCTGTGGTGGGGCATCTGGGTTGTTTCCATATCCTAGCTATTGTGAACAGTGCTGCAATAAACATGGAGGTGCACGTGTCCTTGTATATTG